TCTTCCGGTCTTCCCCTGGTGGCTACCATTTGGCTGAACGCATTCAGGAAATCTGTGGTGCTCAATGAACATGCCATTTCTAGATGCACCGCTCTGGTTGCTGAGCACGTAAACAGGCACAAGTACCTTTTAGCAGAAACTCTTCGAGTAATCTTGATCGTGAAGGGGCCAGCGTAATCAACCCAGCACTTTGCAAACGCTCTCATCGTTGTTCCAACTCTCCTCCTTGGAAGCGGTGCCATGATCTACACTGATGGCTGTACACGTCTTCTCTCACACACCTTGCATTCTTTGTCCTTTCTTCGTCCTTTCTTTGTTCTTTACTTCCTGGCGACCATCTATAATCCGGCATCGGTTTCGTACCTGAGCTAGCACGTGGTTGACGCCCGCATGTCGGCAACGGTTATGGACGTCTGCAACAATTAATTGCTTGATGTGATGTTTCTTTGGCAAGATCATGGGATTGGTCCAATCGCCCTCCGACTCGCAATATACCTAGCTCATCCACAATAGGGTAAGAAATTTCAAGTGGCTCTGTCTTCTGACTTCTTTTCCTCCAATCAAATCTTTTATCTCTTCAGGAAATCTCTCCTCCTGTGTTTGTTTCACCCACAGTTCTCCACCTCTGTCTATTTCAATTGGCGTCAATGTAAGTCCTGGCAACAACACCTACAGGTTTGCCTTGCTTCTTCACTTTGGCCAACAACAGATCAGCAAAACGTCTCACCCATGCTGTGACTCTTCTAAGTCGGTTCCAACTGGAATACTTTAGTAGATTCATCAACGGTTGTGAAATCTCTTATGCAAAGGTCATGTTCGGTTTGACTATCTCAGCTAATCATTCTTCTGAACGCTCCTCAAACACTGTGCATTTTCCTTAAGGCCAGGCATCTTTATGCTCACTCAGGAATTCGTGTCCACTAAACCAGCGATGCTCCCTTGTCAGCGTATGAGCGCGAGTTGCGTTCATTCATCAACCTGACCGAGAAGCGCGAAAGGCGAGTGACGTGTCAGCAGCTGATTGGCGATATTAAACACACGTGAAAAAATACGATATTTTTTCACGTGTATTGTTACAGCTTTTCTCAGGGCTGGAAAGCCTTTTATAACGCCGTAGACTAAGTTTATTTGTTAAATGCTTACTGACTGATCATGGGTTAGTTCAGGCCGATGGGGAGAATATTCTCGTTCTCGTTCATGACGCACGGACCTTGCTGTGCCTTGTTCGTACGTCATGACCTGAAGCCAAATATTTTCCCGTCCGGCTTTCCCACTGAGTCCATAAGTACAAATTATAAATGCCTTATAAATGTTTTATAAATGCATTGTAAATGCATTATAAATTCTAAAAATGTCTTCTTTGTCTATGTAATGATTTCCTTAGTGTATCTCTTACCAAACAATTCAGAAACTTGTACCAGGTAATGCTTCGATTAATTAAACGCTTCAACATCTCCCTCCCGCGCAACCCCCTGCATTTGAATTTTTGTACCTAAACACCTTCATATTTAAAAATATAACATTTGTTTTACACTGGATAGACTTGATACTTCCCGTTCTAGTCCCCCAGTCAGCCAGCTAGTCAGGAAAGGTTCAGATTCCCCACCACCCGGGCTGCATGAACAACCGTCAAACGCTAGTGGGTTGCCCGGGGAAATGTTGAAACTTCAAAACTGATCGGTGCACAAATTTTGTTTTCAGGCTGGTGCATTCCACTTTAAGGACATGTTAATCCTTATATGAGGAAAAAAACGAGCTTAACAAATTCTTTCCTCCAAAAATCTTTATCCAAAGCTTGCTTGTGTACAGTGGACAAATTTTTTGACATTATACAGTTCTAATTTAACCAAAATATTATTTTTGCAAAGGAATTTTTAGCAGCCTTTTGCAATCACGTGCTTTGACAGGTGACTTGGAGAAGACAACCGAAACACAGTCGTTGGGTCTTATCCCCAAACACATCGACATAGTTTTAAATCTTTAACTGTCTTATTGATGCTTCTGTAGAGTACTCAACACTGCACAACTTAACAGTGCGAGATAACCCTATATTTCGTCAATCAAATCACGTGACTAGACATTAAACTCAATGACGTCACAGCATCGATATCGATATTGAAGAAAAAAGGTCAGTATCGTACTCGGTATCGTATTCATTCGCATAAAACGGCATCGGCTCATCTTTACTCCTCGAAAGCTGCTCCGCTGGAGGCAGAGCTGAACAACGAAATGCACGAAATGCTACATCACGGGTTTACGGGGAAAATGACGCGGGCTCAAGTACACAAGGTTTAAAATTCCACGAACTTTGCATTTTGTTGCCGTTGGAGGGAATTTTCCTGCTCCCAATGTTTCTCAGGAGAAAGTTAATTTTTTAAAAATATTAAGGGGGTGTACAAAGTTTTTGGAGGTTGTTCTGTAAAGCGGCAAGGAAACAACGCCTTGAATCTACAGAACGGAAAATCAAACACGCAAACGACTCAAAATCCGTTTTCGGCAACTCTGTTGGCAACGACTAATCACCCTCTGGTCCCCCTGAAACCCAACTGACCCCCCCAAAAGTCCTCCACCCCCCCCCCATTCCTTCCCATCTCTTTGAATAAAAAATGCCTGATTTCTTATTGCCATCGGTGTTTTCGAGTATTTTTTTATTCTTCATTTTCAATCACACGAGGTTACGTTGCAACAATGACAAAGTCATTAGTACTAGAGGAGACTAACCATTTAAAATTCAAGACAATTTTAAAAATATTTGAAGAACGATGATGGCTGTGCTTCAAAAACCGTTATTTAATAATGTATCACTATTAGCTTAGCATTTTACGACAATTAATCCCGACAGGTGTTACAACTTTTCTCAAAAAAGTTTGCAAATCGTTTATTGCTTGAGCATAGGGACACCCACTTGTAGCAGAAACCATCTGGGCGATCGTTCTCTCAAGCTGAAACAAGATTTCAATCAACGTCAGGAAAACAATCGATAACTTTTAGAAAAACACAACAGAAAATATTTGAAAAAGTAGCACAGTTACATTTCACTCCCCTAAAAATTCAGTTGATATACAAGACAAGTTTCATTATAGTTTTCCACAGGATTGCGGGAGCGGGTCCATACGGGTATTATGATAAGTGAAAGTATTTTGGTTTCCAGCTGGCCTGGCAGTTAATTAAGGCGAACGTCTGAGTAATGTGTAAGTTTCAGACTCCAGCCTCTCACTCAAGACCTCGTGAAAAATAGAAATAGTTATTTTGTCACCTGGACAATTAACATTTGTGTTGCACCTCCTGCTTTCTCTAGCTTGTCCCAGTCTCCGCTGTTGATAGCATGTTCGTCCTCCATATTTTGGCGCGGGATTGGTACATGTTCGAGAGCGCAACTGATATCCTATTCCACATGACCTACTACACATACTCCATGTACCCCATGAAGAGTAACCTCCTTCTACTGATAAGAGAAGTGTTAAGTGGTCAAATGAAGAAAAAATTTCCCTGCAAAATGTAACTTGCGCATCGCACCACCTCAGGTGAAAATTAGGCAAATTTTCCTCCACCTCTAATAATTGTTAAATGTACTTGGAATTACTTTGTGAGTACTGAGAAAACTTTGATATGATAAAGTTTTCAAATTGTGAAAGCAAACAGAAAAAATTTGAAGTCACAAATGTGTTTATATACTCTTATCGAAACTGGCCAGTTGACCATTGAGAGCGCGTACTATGTCAATTATTTTATAAATCATCATAGTGTTTGGACCTAGGTAGAAATGGATTGCATTCTATAGAAAGGTGCATGTTGGACAATAAGAATATAGATTAGAAATTAAAAGCGTTTCCTTTCTCCGTCGTAAGTGCAAATAAATTTCTAGGGCCGTTAACAAACTTCAACTTCTAAAAAAAACAATACAGGAAATATTGAAAAAGTAGCGAAGTTATTATCTACATCCCGTTAAAAATTCAATTGATATACAAGTCAGGTCTCATTATGGTTTTCCACAGGAATGCGGGAGCGGGTCCATACGGGAATTATGATAGTTAAAAGGATTTTGGTTCCCAACTGGCCTGGCAGATACCTAGTTAGGGCGAGCGTTTGAGTAGTGTGCATGTTTTAGTCTTCAGCCTCTCACTTAAGACCCTGTGGAAAATAGAAATAGTTATTTTGTTACCTGGACAGTTAACATTTGTGTTGCACCTTCTCCATTCTGTAGCTCGTCCCAGTCTCCGCTGTTGATAGCATGTTCGTCCTCCATATTTTGGCGCAGGATTGGTACATGTACGAGAGCGCGACTGATATCCTCCCCCACATGACCTGCTACACATACTCCATGTACCCCATGAAGAGTAACCTCCATCAACTGATAAGAAAAGTGTTAAGTGGTCAAATAACACTCGTAACAAAAAAAAGTATAGGACCATTCGAAGCTGAAAGAAAATGGTTATGAAGATGGGACGGGTTTAAGTTTGGCAAATAAAGTTATTTATGTTTGTTCGTATTTTGTCCATTGCATGTTTCAGACTGAAACTTGTATTAAAATATGAATATAGTTATTAATAGAGTTCTCGGATAATATCAGACAGAAGTTACCAACTTGTTGGCCCAAGCATCCAAATGTGAACAATCCAACTTTTTGAGATAAATGATTTAAACCCGCATGGCATTAATTAGTTTTTACTCCATGTCGTAGATGACATAAGTCTTCGCTTCCCTGAGTTGGCGATGGGACATATATCTAATTTTTGCAATCTGTCTTATTCTTAAGACTGAACGCAAAACACTTAGGGCCGGTTATTCACGCGAGGTCTAACCCAAAAGACGGTTTTAACAATCAGTGGGCCTCAGGCTTTCTCTCATGTAGGAGGTTTGATTTGATTACATAAATGTTCCTCTTGTCAGTTTTCGGCCTCTTTGACACTTCGGTATATACTTAAGTGTGTGTTTTTGCTAGAATGTTGTAATAACACTTTAAAAAGTGTCTGAAGGGATATTATTTTGTGGTACATTCAGTAAATGCAAACATTTCCCTGAAAAAAATGGAAACAGTGCATTTTGTTGCATATTTCGACGTCTTTGTTTGAGCTTCCTCGACGTCCATCACGATCATCAAGGCAGACAAAGCGCTGAAGATCTTTTTTCTTTTTCATTTTTTACCTCGGGCCACCCTAGATGAAAATTTGGCAAACTTTCCTCCTTCTCTAAGATTTTTTAACTGTACTTAAAATTACTTTGCGAGTATTGAGAAAACTTTGATTTCGAAAATGTTTTCAAATTGTGACAGCAAACAGAAAAAGTATGAAGTCACAAATGCGTTTATATACTCTTATCTAAGCTGGCCAGTTGACTATTGAGAGCGCGTACTATGTCAATTATTTTATAAATCATCATGGTGTTTGACCTAAGTAGGACTGGATTGCATTCTCAATAAAGGTGAATGCAGAGCAACAAGAAAAAAAGATTATAAGTTAAAAACATTTCCTTACTCCTTTGTAAGTGTAAAACATTTCAAGGGCCATAAACAAACAGCAACTTCTAGAAAAACAGAACATGAAATATTGAAAAAAAGTAGCGCAGTTACATCTTCATCCCGTTAAAAATTCGATTAATGTACGAGTTAGATCTCTTTATGGTTTTTCACAGGATTGCGGGAGCGGATCCATACGGGCATTATGATAAGTTAAAGTATTTTGGCTCCCAACTGGCCCGGCAGTTTCTTAATGAAAGAGAACGTCTGAGTAATGTGCAAGTTTCAGGCCCAGCATATCAGTCAAAACCCCGTGAAAAATAGAAATAGTTATTTTGTTACCTGGACAATTAAAAATTGCGTTGCACCTCCTCCATTCTGTAGCTCGTCCCAGTCGATAACATGTTTGTCCTCCATATTTTGGCGCGGGATTGGTACATGTTCGAGAGCGCAACTGATATCCAAATCCACATGACTTGCTACACATACTCCATGTACCCCATGAAGAGTAACCTCCATCAACTGATAAGAGAAGTGTTAAGTGGTCAAATAACACTCGTAACCAAAAAAAGGTATAGTACCACTCGAAACTGAAATAAAATGCTAATGAAGATGAGACGTGTAGGAGGTTTGGTTTGATTAAATAAATGTTCTTCCATTGTTAGTTTTCGGCCCCCTTGACACTGTGGCACATACTTTAGTGTGCATTTTTGCCAACATTTTATAATAAAATGATGAAAAGTGTCTTGGAGGGTATTTTATCGTAGTTCATTTAGTAATTGCAAAAATTTCCTCGAAAAAAACATAGAAAATGTTAAGTTACAAATGCGTTTATATACTCTCATCTAGTGTGCACGCACACTATATCAATTATTTTATAGATCGTCATAGTGTTTGGACCTAAGTAGGACTGGGTTGTTATTCCTGGATTGTTATCCAGCATTCTCAAGAAAGGTGAATGCTGGATAACCAGAAAAAAAATTATAAATTAAAAACGTTTCCTTTCTCCGTCGTAAGCGCAAGTACATTTCCTGGGCCGTTAACAAACACCAACTTCTACAAAAACAGAACAGGAAATATTGAAAATACTCGCAAAGTTACATCCACATTCCGTTAAAAAATTCAATTGATATTCAAGTCAGATTTCATTACGGTTTTCCACAGGTTTGCGGGAGCGGGTCCATACGGGTATTATGATAAGTGAAAGTATTTTGGTTCCCAACTGGCCTGGAAGTTACTTAATTAAGGCGAACGTCTGAGTAATGTGCAAGTTTCAGACTCCAGCCTATCAGTCAATACCCCGTGAAAAATAGAAATAGTTATTTTTTACCCGGACAATTAAAAATTGCGTTGCACCTCCTCCATTCTGTAACTCGTCCCAGTCGATAACATGTTCGTCCTCCATATTTTGGCGCGGGATTGGTACATGTTCGAGAACGCAACTGGATTCCTATTCCACATGACCTGCTACACGTACTCCATGTACCCCATGAAGAGTAACCTCCATCAACTGATAAGAGAAGTGTTAAGTGGTCAAATAACACTCGTAAGTGAAAGTATTTTGGTTCCCAACTGGCCTGTCAGTTACTTAATTAAGGCGAACGTCTGAGTAATGTGCAAGTTTTCAGACTCCAGCCTCTCACTCAAGACCCCGTGAAAAATAGAAATAGTTATTTTGTTACCTGGACAATTAACATTTGTGTTGCACCTTCTCCATTCTGTAGCTCGTCCCAGTCTCCGCTGTTGATAGCATGTTCGTCCTCCATATTTTGGCGCGGGATTGGTACATGTTCGAGAGCGCAACTGATTACCAAATCCACATGACCTGCTACACTTACTCCATGTACCCCATGGAGAGTAACCTCCATCAACTGATAAGAAAAGTTTATAGTTGTAAAGATCTCTTTTAGCGAAAAAAAACAACAAAAAAACAACAAAAAACAACAAAAAAAGCAACAACAACAACAAAAAACAGGATGTAACGATTTAGAGGGCTAACGCTCGAAATGTCACCTTTAAACTCTTTACGGTGGCCAATTTACGTTATCAACTCAGTTAATAATATCAAGTTACCCTGTTATAATGATTCTCATGAGCAGACGTATAAGGAAAGTTTGATAGACATTAATTCGCGATCCTAACATAGCCAAAACGTCCCTTTCCAATTTACACAGTGCTGTGAAGATTTTAAATCCTTCAGAAAGCAAACATTATGTATTTTAAGGGAGCGCTGCCGGAATAGGGCGGAATAATTTCTTGCCTAGTTTTAAATAATGTATATATTGTATAATTACATTTTACTGTTTATTACCTAGCTTTTTACAAATTCATAATTCAGATTCATGTATTTTTATTTATTATTTATTTTTTCTTTTTATTTTATATCAGGCGAAGAGCCATACCGTGGATGTACTGATAACCACAATTATTTCAGTCAAGGATTGCCAGGGTAGTTGCCTTGGTTTAAAAATAATAAACCGTGATTTGCCATACGCTTGCAATTTTTACTGCATCAGCCTTGCAATAGACCTCTTGCATGTTTTGGTTACCCATTTCAGGTCTCATGAGAATTCCCAGCTTTATCTTTTGTAAATTATGCTTACATATGTAAATTGAAAGAAACAGTTCTCTAGATTATTATCACATGACCTGAAATGTGTAAACAAAACATACCGGCTATAGAGGCCCATGTAAACAATAGCCTCCATTTGGCGCAAACATATGCACGGATATATACCGCGAAAATTATCCGTTCCGAGATGCGAACAGTTTTCCGGGAGCGAAGCTAGAGGAAAAGTGTGAGCTTTGAAATTATTAGACGTTAAATACCTTTAAAGACGGCCTTCTTATCCAAACTGGAAAAACTCCTGTGTGGCATCTGAAAGATTCACATCATGCAAATCAGGCTTCTACACCTAGTCTTTTTACAGTTTGTAGACTGGAATCAAATGCTTGGAGTCCTACCAACCCCCAACCCTCCCCCCCCCAAGCGAAAAAAATTACAAGTCCTCCTATTGTATATGAATGTGTACGAGTGAATGGATGCGCAGCTTGCGATGTCGTTTCGCGGACTTTACTTCAACATATTCCTCACTAGGAGGGTCTGTGAACTAACCAATGGTTACTTAATCAAAGAGAGTGGTAAGGACGTGTCTTCCTATATGATAAACTAATCTTGGATATTGTTCACGGACACGGTTAGCATGAACTCTGATTTCGATCACTTAATTGTCCCATCATCGTTCTACGCACATTATAAATGGAAGATAAATGAAAGCCGATGACAAAAAATACCTGAATATTTACTTGTGTTGACATTTTTCCTCTTTGGAAATTCAACTTTAAAAGACCATGTTGATGTAGAAAAGCTCATTCTTAAACATTTTAAGGACGAAATCAACCTACCTCTACTGCATTTGAATGTGAGATGCAATTGAACAAAACCACGGTGAAGGCAACAACTGAGGGAATCTTCTAGGAGAAAACAAGAAATGAATCACAAATTGATCCTTTGTTGTAATACCAGTGCGTAAGGTGACAGAAATTATTTCTTTTCTCATTTAAGAGTTCCCACGGGTTGTTTTAAGTGCAGAATTATACAACAGTAAGTTGAAAGAAATAGAGGAAGCTTTGCGTCGAGAATTGTGTTGTGATTACTAAAAGTGTTTGATACTGCAATAAGAGCATACTTACCATTTTTGATTGAATACGCAGTTTTATCAGGGTTTTCTGTGTTTCTATCACTAACGTCTCAGAACTCGTTATCTTACTACATGAAATCTTGTTATTTATACTTAGCATCATTACGAGGAGAAAAACGGATGTTTTTAAGAAAGAAAGATTGACCGACCTCAAGACAATGGGTATTTTTTATGCCTGTCACGTACTCGCTGAGTCACGTTTGCTCTGGTTTTCAGCTTCCCTTTTATCTGTCACGTTTTCTCAAAGAGCACTAAAGGTGGTTCGGGGGACAAACTTTAACGGCATGGAGTTGATCCATCTATGAGAAAAGACATATCTTTCTAAAAAAATTATCTGATCATAATTATATTTCTCCCTTTAACTATGTTTGCTCACTCCTAAACATAAACTCTTGATATTATCAATCGCGTGCACGTGGTTTGGTACACATCCTTTGTTATAGCAAAGCGTGACTTTAATGTCTACAGTTCAAGGAATTTCAAAAATAGGAAGTTGGTTGTAAAATTCATGTAAATATCAGAGAAAGGTCGTGTTATGAACTTTTTTAAATAGTTCTTAAAAGAATAATGTGCACTCACAAAAAAGATATGACGAAACAAAGCAAGAAGAAGTTTATGTGCCATTATTTTCTCTGGGGTCAAGTTCGCAGTGTTTATTGTCTGAGTGATAAAGACCTATATCGGAAGTTAACAGAATAACCAGCTTCCTTCAGCCATAGGGTAGGTAAATTTGTTGACATGGCCACGGTCAGTGGTTCATGTCACTAGTGTTAAAAACCGTTTCAGCTTCTTTTAGCGTTGGTGTAACACGCAATAATCTCAACTTCTTCCATTTTCGTGTCGGCAGAGCTGAAACGTTGAGCATATAACTGGTGAAGGCACAGCAGTCACGGTAGAGAGCAGAACAAAGGCCCAGGCTTCCATTTCGAATGACACTGTTTACACTGGCGGATCTTCACCTGATCAAATCAAGCTTCAAATCGCGACAGAAAATATACCTCTCGAGAAAATGGTAAGTTCTGTAGCTTTCTTTGTGAAATCTTACATTTGAGATGTTTGTCGCATCAGGCAATTTAATTTATCAGTGATCTGTCAGTCAGGATTATTTCTCCCTTTGAGACATAAGAATGACTACTACACCCTACAGATAACTAATTTGATTTAATTCTTCGTTTCTACAAACTCTTCAAACAAAGAGCATTCTACAAAATATTTCAAATCAGCACTTTGTCGTCTTTGTCTTTTAGATTGTCTTTTTGGTCAGCATTCTTCTAATCACCTTGAATGGAGTTCAAGTTGATTGCAATGTAAGTTATGATTAATGATTTCATCAATTTTCTCGACTAGTTTTGTTATGACGTGTTTTGCATTTATTTATTTATTTCCTCTTAGGGGAAAAACTGTCAGATACTTTACCTAGATATTAGAGTATATCATAAGTTATAAGTCAACTAAAAAATGAATATAATTATTTTCGTCGGCATAATAATGATTATTATCATAAACACGGGATTATATTCTTTTGTTATAAATATTTTCATCAATATCGTTATCAATAGTATCATTTTTTTCATTTCATCGTGACAGACTGACAGCTATTCCTTCCGCGTTTCCGAAAATGGGGCAACGTTTACCGAAGATGTGGAAGTGGATGTCGACAATCAAACCGAAGTGTTCCGTGTTCCTCAGCACAAAGATGTGGACGCAATGGAAATGATGAATGACTTTAGAGAGGTGCGGTGTTAATAAACACGAGTAAATCTGAGCTTTCAGTTCGAAAAATTTGACAAGTGGTTATGTATGCTAAATTACGCGGAAAATTATCAATGGTATTACTTAAAAATAATACACATAAAAAAGGAAGAAAAAAATATCAACATGAGATATTTTGACTGCACACGTACTTTTAAATTAAGTTTTTTCAACTACTTGGTTGCAGCAGATTACAATGTTTGTCAAATTCAAATTTTTATGAGACCATTATTCTGAAAAAAAAAAAATTACATCTGTGATCTTAAAAACGTTTTAAGATTGAATTTTTAAAACCCATTCAAAATATAAATAGAATAAGAGAGATGGTGAGTTTTTGAGCTCGATAAAGGAATAGAGAAAGATGTTTTTCGGCTTTTCACGAGCGTGGGTTCCACTACTGAGCCACAGGGACACAGAGACTGTGAGCGAGGTCTATTACGAAGTTCATATGACACGCGTACTGCATACTGCTAGGATCAGAAATGTCGGTAGCGTCATGTTTGCAAAGAGAATAATAGAGATGGTAAGTTTTGAGATGTTTTTCATCGGAATCCGAAGGTCTGAGGTTCGACTCTTTATGGGGACTCGAATTTTTTCTTTGTCCTACGCTTGTGACAAGTCGAAATACATCTTACGCCATTCAAAATATGTTGTTTTGTAATTTGCACCGTGATACGTGAGAACTTCACTCTTAGCTAATCCGGCAGTACTGACTAATTTTTTAACAGGGGAAGGGTAGAGACTAGGGCCCCCCTCACCTCCCCTGACCTGTTTGCTTACGCTAATGGTGAAGATTGAAAACATAACTATATCTTTCCTCAGGGTTTGTCTGTTTACCGAGTACCATCAGCACGAGCCTGCTATGTATCTAAGCTGGATTCATCTTTTCCTGTGCCAGAGAAGATGAAAGTCAACTTGGAGCATGTAAAAGTGAGGAGCTCTGACGGTTTATATCTTACTGTATGACAAGACTCTCTTTGGGCATAATTGGACTTTCTGACTGCTGAAGCAGATATGCTATTTTTTTCATGAAGAAATACGTTATTCTCAAGTAAAAATTAAGGGAACCAATTTTCAGAGAGTTAATTTGCAATATAAAATGTTTTATAACTGAGTTCGTCGCTCTTAATACCACACTCGTTCTACGTTGCAGACTTCGATGCAGCCCAGGTTACACAGCCGGGTGACAACAAAAGAAAGAGCTTGGAGAGTGGTCAGTTTCGCGCAACGATCAGCTTTGCCTCAGAAGTTCCTGGATTTCTGTGGCAGCTTTCCAATCTATACCATTGAACAAACGTCGATTGATTCGGCAATGAGGCCTTTAAGTAGAGGTAAGATAAATTTTATGAAAACAATTAAAAGCAACTGAGGCTTTTTCAATGGGCTGATAGTCATATAAATGGAAAAAATTCAGTTCAATCGCCCCTTTTTGATGATATGTATGGACATGTAAATGAATTATTTATCTCAAAGGACACAGTTCAATGGTGAAGTCATATTTGAAGCCGCGTGAGATTTCACTTAATGATATCAAATATTGATGTCATTTTGTTATCGAACTTAACTTAAGTCTGTGCTTTTGGCTATCATCCGTCACTCGCTCTGCTTACTCTGATGATGATAAGAAAAAAATAAGACACTAATATGAATAAGATTCAGGTACAAACAATTTCTGAGGGCGAGACAAATGTATGTTAGGAGACTTTTATTGCTATTTGTGGTAATGATTATGTATTTATTACCTTTTAGGTTTTGGCCGTCAAAAGCGGAGTCATACTTTCAGGGATTTTTCCTTATGTAGTAAGGACGATAAAAAAACAATTTTGCGTTGTTTGCTAAAGCAAAACAATCGACAGATACACGGATTTTATAACGTTCAATATAATTTAAGATGCAAATATACTACACATTGTGGTACTTACGTTGTAGACTGTAAGCCCGCAGGTATGGATAGCTATAAGTGTGACAAGTCACTTCATTTTGTAAACTACATTGGTTTTTGCTGTTCTATGGTATGTTAATGTTAAGATGATTTATCTGAATGAGCCAATTTAAGATTGAAGAAACAAATTATACAAAGATTCTTTAATTAATTGGCAGGCTGCATTGATAACCCTTCCAGCAGAGCTATTAGGCATCACTAAAATGTGTAAACTGTAAGCTACTATAAGGTATTTCTAATGATATTTTCGAAATAGTATAAGAAACGCGTATTTTACCCTCGTGTCACAAAAACCTTACCACTTTTTTTACCAAATAAAAAATTAAAAGGGCTTTTTGACTACATCTTTGTAGGAAAAGGGAAGATAGGAAATGCATTCGAGCACATACTGGACTAGACGAAAATTCTAAAAGCTAAACAAGGGTTGATTACATTTGAATCAGTCGGTGGCTTAGGAATTTTTTACTTGTCCAAGCATTCTGGACTTTTTTTTTTAAGAACTGTTTATGGCGGGTACGTCTAGAAACATTCGCTATGCTCCTCGGTGTTGACCCTCATGATTGCCCGTATTTTAAGAGTTCTCAGTATCTCAAACAGTTTTTGAAGGAGAGTTGGTTTCTTTTTCGTATAGCCAAACAGGTGTGGTCGGCAAATTCAAGATAACATTCAGCAGGATCTTGAAAGTCACTTGGGCCTTAAGCCAACTCTACAATATTCAGCATTCAGCATTTAGCTCCCAGATTTATGGCTGATTGGGCAGTTTCACTGATAGCTTGAAGATATGTAGAATGATGATTGTGATATGAAAAAAATTAGAAACTTAAAAGAATAACCAAATTTAAAAGAATAACCAAGGACCCGGCAAATGAGTTCAATTGTCCAAAATTCAAAATGATGTGAACGGAAGTGTACAAGAACTGAAAAGAGATGGCATCAAATATCAGCGATCCTACCTGCAGAGCCTCGGCGAACTGAACCGTGTTGTTAGCGAGGTCAACTGACCCTAAGATGTTAACGACATACATGCCAGCGAAACACCTCAACGGCTGTACGACATTTTTGTTTCCTCGTGGCATGGAATAAAAACCGCTGATACAATATCTTATGGCCATACGATGTTAATTTTCGTGTAGTATTATACTGAGTTTCGTGTTCAAAAACAAAACAGAACACTGACAGGAATGATGAAAATGTAGCCAAACTGGCATGACTATTAAAATTCATACTAATCATGACGGTGTCAGAGCGACTGCGTCCATTGCGGCTAGTTCATCATGGCGATCTCCGGTCATTGCAGTGAGGAAAGCCTCAGAAGTGACATCGGCCGCCCTTCGAACTAAGAGGTTGCTTTGATATCCTTTCCGATACGTTGAGTGGAAGGCCGCATCGGTCACAGCAGGCAAGTTTTATATCGCTGTCATCCCAAGCAGACCTGTTCCAATTGCTAATTGTTGGGAGAGCGAGGAGGTATTACATTGAAAATATGCCTCAGTTTTATTTACTTAATTACGTAAGTTATAAATTGGAAAAAAATGGACAATATCCTCTTTTCATCGCGGCATTCTAATATTCATGGGGTATTTGTGCTTTTGGGTCTTCACGGTCGCCAGGGTCTCCCACATCATAGTTTATTTGAACGCCTTCAGCTATCCAAGGGCTGTGAGTTTCGCGGTTGGTGCATGTTGCACAGCGTTTATGGCCATTTGCGTGTTATATTCTGCAACTTGAGCCATAAAGAATGAAGAATAAAATGGTAGAAACTGCCAGTTTTGAAGATTAATTCGGTGTAAAAATCGCAGACTTCTTTCCAAATCCTTATCGGTTATTGGCATTACTTTCAACATAATAACTCTGACGTGAGAAGGCAGAGACAGCAGTAACAGTACCTATGACGAAGTCAGTGAAGATAGATTTCTGATTAAGATTTCGTCGTTTCTTTCATTCCATGTTGTATTCGTGTTTTATCTGGCCGTTGTGATATACCTATCACAGCTTCCTTTCATAAAAAAAAAAACCCACACAGGTGGAAATATAGTAATTGTCATTAAGGGTATTTCCAGTGCTATGCATAGTTGGTCATTGGTGCCGGAAAATCAAAGATCATAAAATGTTTAGTTTTTATTCAAATATGATTCTTGGAATTTAGACTGTAGGCAATGTAAGCAACCGTGCTTTAAGTTGAAACACCAGATCATGAAAAATTAGTGACGTTTTTTCAAGGAATCGTTGTCTTCACAAGAGTAATCCGCAAGGAATGACTCCTTCCTTCGAGAACAACATTTCACTTGGCAACCAGTAAATGAAGCAAAAAAGTCATTATCTGTGAACCTAAGCACTAAAAAAGTCCCCATTAACTTATATTATTTTCTTTCTCAGTGTACGGTACAAAAATTAAGAATTTTGTACGTGAACTTTTCGTTATCAATTGCGTGCATGAAATTTTGTTGGGCCGGATATGAGATTCTTATCAGTAACATGGACGATTGATCGAATCAATATTAGTGGCCGAGCAACTACCCACCTACCCCTCCCCCAACCTAACATCAACACTATATTGTTATCAGTTGCCTGCTCTTGGGTCAGGAGAGGGGTAGGTACGCAATTGTTCAAATACTAGGAAGTGAATTGTGAAGTGAATATCGGTGGATATTTCTGCTCGGAGGTGAATTTTAGTTGCCAATCCGTGCGCGGAAAAACACATTTTAAATAAAAAAACTACAGTTACAAAATCTAAATTACAAATACTGAAACAATTGGCCACCTTAAAATAGCTTCCAAGCTAGACTAGTTGGATGACTACCCTTCACTAAATGAAAATATATATACACCTCGGTTAGATGACTCTGGTTTCGTAGAGACCGGTCGTTATTTATCACCTGAGGCGGGAAGGAGTCAGGGGAGTTTTGCTGTGTCACAATAAATTTTACCTGACCCCCTTTGGGCTCTGTGCTCATTGGCATGTTCCCCTCCTCTCATGGCAGTCAATATTTCATTGTTCCCCTTTAAACTCCGTAAGCAATGACCAATCCCCCTCTGTTCCCCCTAAAAACCCAACACTGATCCCCCAAAAATCCTCCAGTCACCCTTTCCCCCCCCCCCATCTCTTTGGATAAAATATGACTGGTCCCTCATTGCTATCAGTGTTTGCGAGTATTTTTATTCTTTATTTTCAATCACAACGATGTTACGTTACAAAAATGACAAAGTTGTTATATTTTGTTCAACTTCTGATTTACCTCACAGCACTAGAGGAGACTAGCCGTTTGAAATTCAAGACAATTCAGTATTACTTAGAATTTATAAATATTTGAAAAAAAAGATGATGGCGGTGCTTCAAAAACCATTATTTAATGTAGCATTATCAGCTTAGCATTCCAAGACAATTAATCCCTATTGGCGTTACAACTTTTCTTACAAAAGTTTTCAAACTGTTTATTGCTTGAGCAAAGGGATTGGGACACCCTCTCGTCGCAGAAATCATCTGGTCCCTCGTTCTTGCAAACTGAAAGAAGATTTCAATGAACGTCAGGATGTGCACTATTTGTACATTTGTTTCAAAGGCTCATGTGGACAATTGTTTATTCTGATTTCATCCGGGCTTACATTCATGCCTGATCGGTGGATAGAGCGTGGAAGCTTTACGCGAGACTAGTTTTCTTTGTCGGTATTTGTCAGAGACCTCTGTACGACTTGAATAAGGTTGCAGTTACAATCTTATTTTTATAGTGTTACGTAGTCAATTATCCAATCCAACGTAAATATCGCAAAGTTTGAAGTCGAAAACTGTTTTTTATTAAGGGATCAAATACGCAAATACCTGGTGGAGAGCTCTGCATCACGCTACATTTTTGGCTCTGGGTCTCTTCATTAATTCCTTTGCAAGATGTTCCTCCACTTTCTCGTGGTGTGTTGGTGCGAAAACGTTTGCGAAATCGAGTTCCTTCACCACACGTTGCTTTACACTTTGACCAGGGAGACCATGGGGTGTATCCTTCATTCTCTAAAAGAGAAAAACATTTTCTTTCTAACAATTGATTATCTGTCGTATGCGACGTTTAGTTACCAAAGAATCAATATTGCAAGTTTCCGTCTCCAGCCTCTCATTCAAGACCCCGTGAAGAATAGAAATAGTTGTTTTGTTACCTGAACAAGTACCATTTGCGTTGCACATCCTTCTTTCATTAGCTTGTCCCAGTCTCTGCTGCTGTTGATGGCATGTTTGTCCTCCATATTTTGGCGCGGGATTGGTACATGTTCGAGAGCGCCACTGATATCCTATTCCACATGACGCGTTACACTTACTCCATGTACCCCACGAAGAGTAACCTCCATCAACTGATAAGAGAAGTGTTAAGTGGTCAAATAACACTCGTAACAAAAAAAAGTGTAGGACCATTTGAAGCTGAAACAAAATGGTAATGAAAATGGGACGTCTTGACACTGTGGCACATACTGCAGCTTGCGTTTTTGCGAAAATTTTGTAATAACATGATAAGAAGTGTCTTGAAGGGTATTTTATTGTAGTACATTTAGTAAATGCAAAAATTTCCCTGCGAAAATGCAAATTGCGCACCGGGCCACCTCAGATGAAAGTTAGGCAAATTTTTCTCCATCTCTAATATTTGTTAAATTTACTTGGAATTACTTTGAGAGTATTGCGAAAGCTTTGACAGGATAAAGTTTTCAAAAGTCACAAATGCGTTTATATACTCTTGTATAAACCGGCCAGTTGACCATTTAGAGCACGTACTATGTCAATTATTTTATAAATCATCATAGTGTTTGGACCTAAGTAGGACTGGATTGCATTCTATGGAAAGATGCATGCTAAACAACAAGAATATAGATTAGAAATTAAAAACGTTTCCTCTCCCTGTCGTAGCGCAAATATATTTCTATGGCCATAAACAAACATCAACTCCTAGAAAAACAGAACAGGAAATATTGACAAGACTAGCAAAGTTACATCGACATCTCGTTAAAAATTCAATTAATATACAAGTCAGGTTTTATTTTGGTTTTCCACAGGATTGCGGGAGCGGATTCATACGTGTATTATAATAAGGTAGTATTTTGGTTCCCAACTAACCTGTCAGTTACATAATTAAGGCGAATGTCTGAGTAATGTGCAAGTTTCAGACTCCAGACTCTGTATTTAACTATAAAAATAGTTATTCATAGAATTTTTTGGATAACATCGGACTGAAGTAACCAACTTGTTGGTCCAAGTTTCCAGATGTGAACAATCCAACTTTTTGAGATAAATGATTTGAACCCGCATAGCACTAATGAGTTTTTACTTCATTTCGTAGATGACACAAGTCTTCGCCTCCCTGAGTTAACGATAGGATATATTTCTAGTTATTACTATCTGTCTGATTTTTAAGACTGAACGCAAAACACTCAGGGCCGGTTATTCACGCGAGGTTTAACCCAAAAGACTGAATGGGGGGGTCAAAATGTCGGTTGTCGGTTAAAATTTCATTACTTTGTCGGTTGTCGGTTAAGATTTTTGACCTTTGTCGGTTGTCGGTAAATCTCAGTTAATAATTAAAAATACACGTTAATTATTCACATTTATTACGCAATTTGCCCAGTTTTAAGACTTTAAACTCTAGACGAAGTGTAATACTTGTAATAATTCATTATTTGTTTTCACTTAAACCTCGTTAACGCTGTTTTTTAATTTAGCAACGTGCTCATCTACCCCACTTTTGTTTGCAAATCTAGTATACCGATAAAATTCACCAAAGCTTTTATTATAGATGTGAATTTGTTTCCTGTCGACTACGGGGCATCGAAGTAAATTAAGAGAAGTAAATTCTACAAAGAATGAAACACCCACTCTAGCCCCTGGGATACCTAATTTTAATTTGTAAGCTACGGAAGTCTTTTTTCCGAGACGTCCACAAAAACTCACTACACTTATTATTCAACGGCTCTCGTGGCTTTTCTGCGAGGTTTCTTTTTTTTCTCTTTTTTTTTGCCAAAAATTTGGTTGTCATACGTATCAATCTGCACCGTTAAATGGATTTTTTAACTGTTAGTACCTCTTACATGTCGAGACGCACAAATGCACGAACAGCCCTGCCGGATCGGGTAACACACGCTCTGTTGACAACCTCTGGATGTTCTTCAAAATCTGATTCCTCGTCATCCGAATCTGTCTCATACTCATCGATTTGTACTTCTCTGTGATCCTCAAACACCTCAGTAACATCCCCTTCGTCCACAAATTGTATGCTGACAACGCGTTGTGCATTTGCTGACGATACAGTGTTTTCTTCAGGATATCGAAGCCTCTCTTCAGACTCGTCGGTGTGGTGAACGGCGTAGACAGCTGGCGGCAAGGCCCCAGCCTTATCTTTTGTGGTCTCACTCCTAACCGTCCGTTGGCGTACTGGTCTGTAACTCTCTAGCCACTCTTTGATCTGTCCTTCCATCCCTGGTGTTATGTCCTCACTTGGCAAAGGTGTCATCGTAGCTATAGCAGAAAGGGGCATGGCGGATTGAGGTACCGGATAGTAGGATTTGTCATGCGTGTAGTACTTTGCTGCCCATCTAGATGTGCGCTTCAGAGATTCCTTGCAAATTGTTCCAAAATCCTGGGCATATGTAAGTACCGTAAATGTCTCGTGTTTAAGGTGCGAAACAGCGTGCAAATTTTCCACTACTGTTGTGAGCAACGTTTCGGGCAGCAGATCATCTACAAATTGGGGGTTAATGTCCATCACGTTCTTGTATAGCCTTTCTATGCCCTTTTTAAGCAAAGACACAGATACTTGCGTCTTCTGTGATACAGTTCCCTGTGGACCATTGGTTGCAGACGTCTCGCTCAACTGGTAGCGTTCTTTCACCTTACTCACAGTGTCTTTTACATAGCTGTCAATCTTTGTCACGTACTCTTTTGCTTGTTTCAAGGACACTGCGTCTGGTTTCATACCCTTATCTCTTATTGCTCTTATTTTCGCACAATGAAAATACCAACGCTAAAAGCTAGCCAGCTTTGGTATTAACCAAAGCTGGCTAAAAATTACAAAATCTTCCCCTATGTGTGTTGTGAAGAATCGTAAAAGACGTGAAAGAAAAAATGGATTAACTTATTTGTAAGTATTGAAAGTAATTGTGCAATTGCAAGACTGACAGTTTGGCATAATTGGTTAAACAGAGTTTGTTTTTCTTGAATCCGCAAAACTTACATGCACTTCGCTATCGGCCATGGAATCAGCATCTAACTTTTTAAGATCTTCTTCCCTACCTGAGAAGATTGAGAATTTACAAATTTTTTGTTGTTTTCTGTGTTTTCAGCCATGATTTGGGCTTTAAAAATAGCTCCACGGTTTCTTTTACCAACGCTACAAGAAGACGGCGCGAACATTGGTTGTCTTGGTTTATTTTTAAAAATACATTTTAGCACGGCAAATTCTTTATTTTAGCACGCAAAATGCGCCACAATGCCCATCAAAGTGATAATAATACAGTTTTTAGCCGGAATTTAAAAGAAACTATCTTTACATAGCGAACGCACCAAGTGAGCGTTTTTCGTTGTATAAACAAGGCAGTGTTTATAAACAAGGAATACCGCAGAATTTCCAAAGTTGCGAAATTTATGACTTTTGAAAATCAGGTAAACGAACTACAAGTGCTAATTCAGCCCTACCATCCTGAAACTTTTGAAGGTTTCCTTGTTGCCTTTCGTTTCTCTCGATGTCACCTCCTTCAGTCATGATCCTCTTTGCCAGATTTTCATCTTCTTTTGCTTCTTCTCGTGATTTCCGTTTCCTTCTCACTTTTGACTCGTCACCTTTCTTCTCAGTGTCGTTCATTGACTTCTGCTTGCTTTTATCAGATGTAGCCGGCGCCTTCAGCAACACTACTGGCTTTCCGGTCCAGTTTGTGACTTCTTGGATAATGTGTACTAAAATATTAAATACCGTGTGTTTTAAGTTTTCTCTTTAGTAGGCTTTTGAGAAACTTACACAGTTCTTATCAGCAAATGCTCGTCAAGATGTATAAAACGTGCACATCGAGCGAAATCTCTCGTGCGTAGCTTCCCTCGAGGAGAGAATTGAATATTATTTGAACGTCTGGTTTTCAGAAACGAATAAATTTAAGGGCGTGTATAAATAAACGGGGTCTTTAATATGTTAAGCTACACTGTTGTTCATTCACCAATTAATCAGAAAGAAGCCTATAAACTGATTTACTCGCTACTTCTTTGTAGAGATTTTTCTGCTCAATCGCATTCAAATGGACGGTGAAAAAGAAAAAAAAACATCCCGCTCCACAAAACAACAAACAAAAAACGGTGGAACCAGAGTTTAACCACGTTAATATTTGAGCTTAATATTTAACTACAGAACTAAAGTGATTCATCAAACTCCGCTGCACGCGTTCCACACTTACCGTTGAGCTCACTGCTACTTTCATCCGATATTAAATTTGGAAGTTCAAGCTGCCATTGCCCATCCGTCACAATTGCAAAATTTTCGCATTTGCCCGCAGGCGATTTCGCCAGGCGAAATAACTTTAACGAAAATCCGCCAATTCCATAAGATGTTTCCGTAAGATGTTTTTTTAGTTCAGATACTCCTCTATGAGCTTCTTTGTCTACTGGGACCCTGCTTCGATGACGTTCGATGGCGACTTCTTCACCTTTTCGAAAAAAACTCACGATGACTTTAGCAATCCCAGTCATGACCCGACCGCACGAACAAACAACGAGCAATAAAAAGACAACAGCAGGGCGTCTCGTCGGCTCGATTGTGATCCGCTGTTCTTGAAATGAGACAGCAGGGCGTCTTGTCAGCCCGATTACGAGCCGCTGTTCTAGAAATGAGCCCACGCTGCTCACCGAAAAGAAGGATCCCGTGGATTTAAAGTAATTTGAAGACAAGAAATTCTGTAATTCGGCTAAATTTGGAATTAATGTGGTTACGTCGGGTGAAGAAGGATTTTCTGAGCTAGAAATCATCAAAATGCTGTTCTTTCTGAATACAAACATCCCTATCACGTCTGACCATGTCGGTTGTCGGTTAGAATTTATTTGTCGCTAGTCGGTAATTTTTTCCCCGTTTCGTCGGTAGTCAGTAATTTTTTACGCCCTTTGTCGCTAGTCGGTTAACCCCATTCACACCCTCTTGTTAGTTTTCGGCTCCCTTGACACTGTGGCACATACTTTAGTGTGCATTTTTGCCAAAATTTTATAATAACATGATGAAAAGTGTCTTGGAGGGTATTTTATCTTAGTTCATTTAGTAATTGCAGAAATTTCCTCGAAAAAAACATAGAAAATGTTAAGTTACAAACGCGTTTATATACTCTCATCTAGACTGACCAGTTGATTATTGAGGGCGCGCACACTATATCAATTATTTTATAAATCGTCATGGTGTTTGGACCTAAGTAGGACTGGATTGTTATTCCTGGATTGTTATCCAGCATTCTCAAGAAAGGTGAATGCTGGATAACCAGAAAAAAAAAATTAAAAACGTTTCCTTTCTCCGTCGTAAGCGCAAGTACATTTCCTGGGCCGTTAACAAACACCAACTTCTACAAAAACAGAACAGGAAATATTGAAAATACTCGCAAAGTTGCATCCACATTCCGTTAAAAATTCAATTGATATTCAAGTCAGGTTTCATTATGGTTTTCCACAGGTTTGCGGGAGCGGGTCCATATGGGTATTATGATAAGTGAAAGTATTTTGGTTCCCAACTGGCCTGGAAGTTACTTAATTAAGGCGAACATCTGAGTAATGTGCAAGTTTCAGACTCCAGCCTCTCACTTAAGACCTCGTGAAAAATAGAAATAGTTATTTCGTTACCTGGACAGTTAACATTGGTGTTGCACCTCCTGCTTTCTCTAGCTTGTCCCAGTCTCCGCTGTTGATAGCATGTTCGTCCTCCATGTTCTGGCGCGGGATTGGTACATGTTCGAGAGCGCAACTGATCTCCAAATCCACATGACTTGCTACACTTGCTCCATTTACCCCATGAAGAGTAACCTCCATCAACTGATAAGAGAAGTGTTAAGTGGTCAAATAACACTCGTAACAAAAAAAAGTATAGGACCATTTGAAGCTGAAAGAAAATGGTAATGAAGATGGGACGTTTTTCAGTTTGGAAAATAAAGTTATTTGTGATTTGTCCGCATTTTGTTTTGTGTATGTTACAAACTGAAACTTGTATTTAGATGTAAAAATAATTATTTATAGAGTTCATGGATAACATCAGACTGAAGTTACCAACTTGTTGGCCCAAGCATCCAAATGTGAACAACTTTTTGAGATAACTGATTTAAATCCGCATCGCATTAATTAGTTTTTAATCCATGTCGTAGATGTTTCCTCCTGATTTGACCCCTCCTTTTAATGACGTTTTTAAATGAAGATCTTCCCACTTCTACCGGTACCGTACATTAATGTAGATTTTCTCTCACGCAGGCTTCGTTTTGATATTGCATGAAATATTTACCAGGGCAATGATGTGTGTTACATTGCTGTGAATCTCTCTCAGTTCCCTCACAACCTCTCCCACCATTTGCCGGTGAGGGATTGCTACAATCCCGAGATCGCGTCTGAGTCCCTCCCCCACAACGTTTGTTACAGGAGGACCAGGGATTCCACTGTTGCCAGCCCCCGTGAACTGGAATATCTAAAATTAGAATTTATTAACACAAAGCTGTCAGTAGCAGAAAGTACAGGCTGAGATGACCAGGTTGGGACTGATTTTATTGATGAATTATGGAGTCACCAAACGTTGATGGAAAACTTGCGTCGCATTTGTGGGCGCGAGCGCTAATGATAGGGAAACTTTTTTGTATTGACGAAGACAACAAAGTTTTGTGACGGCTTTTCCCTTACAGGGGTGAATAGCCTCAGATAGCAAACTGTGTGTGAATATGCATCTGAAAAGGTATGAAACGAGGCTATCGTAAGATGGGCCTACAGCTCACCCGAATATACTAATGCCCATAATTTTCGTTTGCTGATTGATGGCGGTTGTGTTAAATGCACCCAAATACAATGCAAAAAAGTTATGTAAGTACAAGAAAGTATCAAGGTTGACAGCAACTTGTCAAAATGCACAGCAATACAAAAAATTACTCCCAATTTCTACAGGTTTGGAGAAACAACTTTTAAACGAGGGATTCTTCAAGTAAAAATGCTGGAAGGTGTAAGTCTCAGGTGGTAAGAAAGAGACCTTGCGATTATATTGAGAGCACTTCAGTCCGAGATGAAACCATGAAACCATGTTCGCCATTTCTAAAGAAGATCTCAGTCTAATAGCATTTATCAAGGGATTATAAACTCTTATTTTTCTATATTTACCCATTCCTATGAAACAGGAAATGGTACAAAAAAATATTGATAAATTGCAGCGGAGAGTGGCTTATTAAAAGAAAATCAAATTGGCTGTAAGCCACTAAACTCGGACAGGCACGTAGTTAGCTTTTGGTCTTGTTGTAGGCCTGTACCTGTGAAAGTTCAACTTTTTTTTCAGAATTTACAAGAGTCATATTGTAAAAGTCGAGCATGTGGAAAAATAATTGTAGGCCCGGAACAAAGGCATGTAAGGAAATATGATTATTTTTCAAAGTTTGTCAGCCTGACTACTTAATTCAGTTGTATCTTCTTCTCCCATACTTCACTAGAAATCCCGTGTAGTCCATTAAAATGGTGTTTTAGACCAAGACAGGACCTCGTGCTCTCTCGCTTTAGTTCTAGGGCAGCTCAAATGACTCCAAAATAGTAGGTACGTATCTGATCAGATACGAAGAACATTTAACGACGATACGTACCTCTTTTTCGTCCTTCGATATCAACTGTTTTTACTCTCTTTATATTTCTATCAACATGACGGTTATCTGCGAGAGGGTCGTCTCTGGTTCCGAACAGGAATAACGTCAACGAAAAGATGCGTCCTGTTGATTAATCAACACCAGTAAACATTTATCACCTGGGGGGGAGGGGGGGGGGAGGATTTGGTTGTGTGGCGATAAATTCACCTGATTCCCCCATAAGACTATGTAACATTCATGTGAGCCCCACTTCTCATTAGCAGTTAATTAACTCCCCCCTCTTTAAGGCCACAAATAATAATAACTGTTTCCTTAATGAATGTATAAATAAATAAACAAATAAGTATGTAGTTAAATGAAGAAGGGTGGTGTGGGGTGGAATTCTGCTCGTAAGATAAAAGGTTCAGTGCAAGATGGGAACAAGACCTCAAATTTCAATAAACCAAGGACAACATTAAGCCAAGAAGGAACAACTGTGTCCCGTTCCATCAAGGTGCGGTGGCTCAAGTCAGTTAACGTGTAGTTTATGAGTTTGTTTTTCTCATGATGTTATCATGCGACCTGATGATACATCCTGATTATTTCAAAGAGCATGTTTCTCACTCGTTATCAAGGAGCTGCACTGACAGGTAAAACATACTTTTTTGTGTCTCTTATCACTGTAGCAAGTGCGGAACTGATCAACAGAAGACAACACAATTGCATAATTTGTTTTCTAAGTCTCGCATTTAATAATACAAAACAGAAACTGCAAACCTTAACCATTACTTTTGAGCACTCACCACCGAGGCGAACAATGAGTGATGAGAGGCAGACGACAAAACTGGGAAAAAAATGCTTGCAAAATCATTGCGGTCAGTAAACTTCAAAGCATTTATACGTTAATCAGGAGGAAAAAATCATGAATTTCTCTTAGGTTGAAAAAAGTGTTACTCTTATCCTCGCTTCGCTTGTACCAACAACCGTTCCTTCGCACCCTTGCTTTCAATTTACATTGTTGATAAAAATCAATCTGGTATTACCTTTTCCTCTGGTCCCACTCTTTTTTGTACTTCGTATCGTTATATTCCAGTCTCCGGTAGGATTCTCTCCCCAGTAATGTAAACTAGTGACATTCCAATTTGTCAAGTTCTTTCTACTGCTAAAACTGTCAAAAAATCGTGGATAAAGGAGTTGAGACTTTGTTCCACTCGGTGATTTTGAAGTCATCTCCAAGTGACCTCGGCCAGGGAAAGTGAGATTCATGTTTACTTGAACGTGCTCAAGGAATCGGATGCCACAATTTTGTTTTTCTGCGGTGAAGGTTAGATTTAAATATCCAGTCGAAGGAATCAAAGGTGGTGCAGACCTTAAAAAGGTTTCGAATAAGATAATTAGTGTACAAAGATTCTCTTCAATTATTAGAGGTAAATGGAACAACTCTTTGTCAGGTCCTCTGTGTTGATTTAACAAAACAGGGTTGGAGTCTCTATGATTTCCCTCTATAAAGTTCCAAACACCAACAGGCAGAGAATCGATACATGTGGATCATTCACCCAACCCTAACTTCAACTGATGAACTACTCGACTTTTTCTCACCAATTAACTCGCATGTAGTATTAAGTAATATAACCTAACAAAAAAACAACGTTAAAATGATGGGACGCAGCTACCTACCCATTGATTGTGTATTTAATTTCACAAGACAGATGCACCGGAACAGAAGCCCAAGACTTTGCATATCTAGTCATCAATTCGGCATTCATCAATCCAAACCCAAAATATTTGCTGACTAAAATGAGAAAGAAAATTCTTTATTGTTTCAAAAAATTCAAGAAAAGAGTAAGAACAGTTTACTGTGGCAATGTTATGCGAAAACCTAGTCCAAGGGACTTGAATAGACTTACTGAAAGTAGTTTTTGTACCACAACCGAAAACTTCGAACAAAGTGATCTGGAGAATTTAGTCGTGCAATAAATGACAGAAACGTGAGTTTATCATTAATTGAAAATAAATAGACGTGTTCCAGGGCAAAGGTTTGCGAAATTGTGCATTCTTCATAAACAAGCCTACTCGCACGAGTGCAAAACTCCATTACCGCCACTTAGGTTGCCCAAAAGTTACCTGTAGAACCATTTGGGCTCTGCGCAACATGAAAATTATGCGGGTTTTCATTCTAAATAAATAATTTATAGACTTATATTGCGCAATTATCAATATAAGAATTTTCAATTGCGCATTACAATTAAATGTTAAAAATTCAACCCCTCCATAGATACTAAAAACTAAAAATCAAAAGATAATATATATAAATAAATAAATAAAAAATAACGAATAAAGATAAAAATAAATAATAAATAATAAATTTTCTAAAAAATTAAATAAATAAATAAAAATGATCACTTAGAAAATGTAAATTATGAAATTATATACAAAGAATTAAAAAGCTTTGGCAAATAAAAAAGTCTTTATGGCCTTCTTAAACTTGTTTAAGATTAGGTGTTTCTGATAGAGCCCGGAAGATCGTTCCACAGTTTAGGGGCGACGGCATGGAAAGATCGATCGCTGAGCGTGGTGAGTGTTTTACCCCTGCAATGAGCGTAGTTTTCATTGTCGTAGATTATCTTTGATTCTGGTCGCGGGAAGGGTTATCCCGCGAAAAAAATTCCTTTAAAAAAGGGAGCAGCAATGTTCTACTCTTTACTCTTTACATGCGAACCAGGATGTTAATGTTTTATTTTATTTTATTTTATTTTATCAAGTCCTCACATATTTATTCCACAAGGCGTGATGCTTTAAATATTTTAATTCCTAAAGTCCGTACAGAATCTGCCAACAAAGAAACATTTTATACTGGAGCCTAGGCTTTCAATAACTTGCCATCAAATCTAAAGGAAATTGACTCTCTAATAATTTTTAAAACACAGCTTATTAATACTATTTTTTGGATTTTTTTTGCTAATTTACTTAGTTATATAATATTTTTAGTTGCCCAGGGCACCCATTTATAACAGCTTCAACTGACAGGTCTACTCTGGTTAAATATGTTTTTATTATAAATGTTATTAGAATTACTATTATCAGGTAGTATTAGTGTTATCATTGTTTGCCCATTTAAGGTCATGTGATTATACTCTAGAGAAAATGTGTCTTTTAAATGTCTCTTATATTTTCGGGCTTTTTACAAGTTTTTCATCGACGAATCATCTTCCGAGCAGTTCCCCTGTGTAAAACTCACAAAGTTGAAAATGTTGAGAATATCATGTTTTCTTCGTTATCAATGTTCTGCTACTTTACGAGTAAATTGCCATTTTTTTTTCGCAGCAGAAATTAATGTCACCTCTAACTGCAAAATTTGTTCTCCAAAGATATGAAAAATGTCCAATCCACAAAATAAAACTCAAGCTACGTGCACTATATATTGATGATGCTGTGGACGTAAAAATTGGTTTCAAGGGAAACTGACATGCATATACCTGAGACATTAGCCCCGTTGATTTGCCAAGTAGGTCTGGGACGCCAGCGTAATGCATAGCGACCCACTGGGGGCGGATCTAGAGGCTGTGAACTTCTGACTATCAAATGCTGAATATCCCGCCACGTGAGATGCTGACTAAAAGAGGAAGAGAAGTATATTAGTGTCATTAAGTTTTGAACAGTCAGTGATTCATTATTTGGTTAGTTGGCACTGTTTGGTCACAATACCCCCAGAGGCAAGCCAATTTGATGAAACGGTAGCTTAAAAGTGAGTAAAGGGGGTAAGTTTCTAAAGAAACTGTGGTGCAAAACCATGGACAACTTTTTGTCAGAAGTTCATAACAAACTAATGACCAGCCTGGAACTTTCAAAAGCGCTTGCAAACGATGCAAAACCTGTCCTCTCATTCATGACGTGGTGAAAATGTCGGAAAGAAAGAGATCCATTAAAATTACTTATTTCTTCACGTGCACCTTTGCCAATGTCATCTATTGCATGAAACAGGAAGACGATTAGGTAACCGCCTCCGAAAACACCTTCGCGACGTAGAAAGAAATGACAAGGACATATTCAAACCAGTCGCTAGACACTATAATCTCCCTCGTCATTTTAAGAAGCGTATGGTAGTTTTCGGCCTTTTCCTTCAGCTAGGAAGTTAGGAAAGCTGCGAAACTGTAGAACGAAAATTTATCTTTTAAATAGGCACTCTTAATCCTCACGGTATCAACGAGTGCTTTTCATTCAACAAACATATTCTTGTTTTTTCTCGTTACGATGTTCCCACCGATAGCATAGTTCCATTTTTTTGTATACAAACACACACACAACCCTCCTAAGGGCTAGCGCTTCAAACGTCAGCTCTGAAACTCTTAAAGGTGGCCAATTTACGTTATCAACTCGGTTGATAATACTAAATTACTTGGGTAGTTTACAAGGGCGGGTTTTCACAATACACTCGAGTTTTTATTAAACAATTATTTAATCCCAGCAAAAAAATAAATGAACAAAAGGGAAATATGGTTACAATTTAATTTTGAGTTAGAAAAGGCTTGTTAGTAGAAAGTAGGAAGGTATATTTCTTACTTTGCTTCTAAAGCCAAAGCAATGATCCCAGAAGCAATCGCGGTGGTACCGGAAGTGCCTGTAAAACTCTCCGTGCAACCGTTCGCTCCCTCTGTTGTAATCTGCAAAATTAAATTATGCAACCAGAGAATTATCCCTCTGAAGTAGGAAAAATGACAAAGAAAAGATATCGAACGACTGTGAATGTATGTAGATTTTATATATTTAAACTGCGGACTAATAAATGATGATGAGAGCGATCTTTTCAGAGATGAACACTGATTATAGCAGCTGTGAAAATGAGACTTGTGAGGAATTTAGGTCTGTACGGGATTTGAACCCATAACCCTCTGCGATACCGGTGCAGTGCTCTACCAGCATAGCTAACAAGCCAGCCGGGAACTAGTCTTTTTTTGGAAAGTAATAAACCCTTGAAGAAGTGAACGAACCACTGCGATTTTATAATATCATAGATATTGTTTCCAGCTGGAAAGAACAATCTTTTCACAAGTGAGATCGTAGGAATCTTGAAATGATTCTTTAATTGTTTAACGAAATGCAATTTAGTTGTGCCACTATGATATTATAAGAAATGGCACAATTCAGCTCATCAGGTTTCCAAGAACTCGAAATCTCTGTGATAACTCACCAATGGGGGTTTGATGCCTCTATCTGTTCTGTAAGAAAACGTGTCCTTTCCATAAGTGACGGCCATGATGGCTGCGCACTTCTCAGTGTAACCTGGTACCGCTCCGTCCCAGTTCACCCCAGAGATGGCAATTGTGTGAATGTTGTTTACGTAACCGTTGAAAGCACAGCTGTCACCTGATCGGCCTCCATTTCCTGCAGCGAAGACAAATATGGACCCTTTGCCGCCGCGACCCTAAATTTTAACAAAGCATAGTGCTGAACAGTCTATAATTTTAAAAAAATTTTTTGGCAACATGGAATTTAGAACCAAGTTTATATAAGTGAATTGCAAAGAAAATGTCCAAGTCATTTACCACTTTTTGCTCGTGAAGAGGAAGACAGCGGTATGATCAGCTACTTCTGTCTTCCAGGGACAGAAATGGTTGCTTTGGATACTTGTGACTGAAGAATTTACCCTCGTCAATTCAAGTTCACTTCTAGGGATAATCACCTTTTCGGAATGTTAATTAGGTTTTGCAAAGTTACGAAATATACTTTTGAGGAGCTTAACAGTCACCTAAAAGTATGGAAGCTCTCCTTGCCCACGCTCCCCACAATGAGCTCTTTTAAACTTTGTAAGTTTTGTTTCGTTAATTATCCATTTTCAGAAAATAAGATATAAAAAAGGGAATTTTTATATAAGTAACTTACCTTTTTGGTTCCATCCTCTAAAACTTTTGTCAAGCGAGGGCCAGGACCCTCTACTTCCCAGCCAATGTCCCCAGGCCCCCAGCTGTTGGAGTATATGTCAACCAATTGACTTTTGTAGCTCAAGGCCCTCGCCTCTGATGAATCCGTTGACTTTGTGCGGTCATTAAAAATTCGAAGACCTAAGAAAACAAAATTTTTCATTAGTCAATATAATGTTGTCTACATTTCGTGTGTGTGTGATTGGATGGCAAAATACATCCTCCACTGCAGCATACAAGAACTGGTGTGAAATGTGTTTATCGGCTGACGGTTTCTTTTTTTTATGTCTGTGTTGTTCATTTTTATTCCTGTTTTAAATTTTTGGTTGAGGCTTAATGGGGAGGAACGTTCCTAATTTGGTTTGGGAAAGGAAATTTGGACTTACCTTTCCTAACTTATGAGTTCACTGACTAAGAATCTAATGAAACTTTACGATTATGAAAAACCTGCTGTTTTGTTTGTTTTGTATTCTCAGAAGTTCACATTTTGCTATGGACTTACTTTGTTGTTCGCTCTTAAAATCTGTTACGTCACCCGTCAGTTACGTCATTCCTTGGTGCTGCAACCCTTCTTAACGAAAATCCTGGATCCGCCCCTGACCGTTTTGGTGTTACGTGTCTCTATTCTCGTTAGCTGTTTGCATCAGATGCAATGTTATTACGAGGAGTAAAGGTATTTTAAAATCTCTTACGGGAGGTAATCGACGGTTTTGATTCCAAACATAATACAAAGTAACTGTTTAAGATAACGTCAAAATTTTGTCCTTACTTGCAATTTCTGCATCGTGGGCGATTCCCACGCCACAATTTGCATTGTTTCCACCAGCAATGATTCCAGCACAGTTTGTTCCATGACTTTGGGGACAAAAAGGAAAATTATCATATGACAACTATACCTATAATATGATAATAGAACTATAGAAGAAAAGTTTAAACGTTTAAAACTGCACTCGAAAAATAAAACGTAACAATTAATTCGTTAATTCTCTGAATTATATTTCAACGGTGACCCAAAAAAATTTCCAATGATCTTGATTGGGCAGATTTTTCGTCGCCAAGGTCAAAATTTAGACATACTGTCTCTACTACCATAGCTATTATTTCGAAAATATCGAGACAGGCTGTATCAGTAAGAGATATAAGGGAAAAATGAAACTACAACAACACTGTTGTAGTTTCACAACTTATGTGTTTGAGGCTGTCTTGATGGAACGTCTTAACTAAAAGGTAACCACTAGCAATATGACAATCAATAAAGCATCCACAAGTGTTTGCATTGAAAGAGAAATAAGTATTAACACGTAATAAGGGGTTCCAAAATGGCAGAACTGATAATTTTTGTGTAAAAACGTTTTATATCTAACGGGGGCTTACGGAAACGTGACACGTCGTTCAAGGAAAAACTTACAATCAAACGGAGACTAAGTACATACCTCAATGAATAAATTCAAACCGCATATGCTTCAGTTTATAAAGTGGAACCTTTTTTTATTACCCTTTTTTATTTCATTAACTAAATTCGAGAAAGTTTTTCATTTTATAAATTGTTTTATCTGACTATCTCTCCACTTTTCATGGCTGACATTTGACGTGCTTCTGTCACTGTCCTATTGCTAAATAAAAATGAACGAATCAATACCCAAGTATACGAATAAGCGGACGAACCGAAACGGACTAATAAATGGAGACACGAATGGCCAAAGGAATTTAGGAGATTAGGAAATACAGGATTGATGGGACATACCTGCCGGGACTGTAATGATTATTTACAGGGCGGTCCGTCATGAAGTCATAGCTGACACTTTCTCTCTGTGTAAATAAAGATTTGAAGGGAGTTGTTTGGTTTGATCAATAATCTTAACATGGTCACCTTCAAAGTTTGTTGTGTAGGTTTGTCAAAAGTCCTACGTTGTCGAAATATGCGGTTGTTATTAAAGGTTGTTAAGGTGATTCCTCAGAAAAAAGTTATCGGATAATTTTTTTAACTCTCCTCATATGATCCCAACTAATGTATGTTTCTAGAAATACAATAAGAAAGATAAGTCACCGTGTTTCTATATGATGAGCCAAACTTAACCCATTTTTGCATGTACTGGCTTTCATTACACGCGTCATTTTATCGCTTCACGGTGCATTTTGCGACGGCTGGAAGTTAGGGTTTTTCATAATAACACTTCAAAAAACTTGATAGGTGTATCAGAAAGTCTCGAGCGTATGGAACAATCTCAAGAGCTGGAGACCATGGTACCTCATTACCTGGTGCATTTCCTGCAAACAATTTCGTTTTCTCGGAACGCGCGCACGATTACGTGTTTTTATGCGCTGTACAGGATGCTCATTGCAAAACCGAGGAATCATCTTTAATAGAGTATCATCACCTGAAATCAGGTATCGCCGCTTAATGTGTTGCCCTCTTTAAAAAATTAAACTACAACATATGAAGAAAATATGTCCTCTCCAACAAGCGAATGCGGTTTTGTTTTTGATGATAAAAGGTGAAAGGTATCATCACCTCAATCTGGTCTATTTTATGAGGAAAAATAAAATTGTACGCCATTTCAGAAAAGGATGCTGGATATTGACCTTAGTTCCCTAACTATGCCGCAAGCAAGTAAGCATTTGACTCAGCGCTATTTGGCCATGATGGGTATAAAAATAATTACTTACGAAGTTAGATCTTAGGTCGGGATGATTCATGTTAACTCCGTCGTCCACAACAGCCACAAGGACTCCTTTGCCTGTATACCCAGCATCCCAAGCGGACTCGACATCCATTGAAACTCTGGTGTTTTTCTGTAGATAAATTGCGCCGTACAAGCATGGCATATTATTTTTCAATTCAGTAGCAAGTACAATTGAGGTCTAGACAATAAGTATTTCGAGTTTTCTCCTGTCCCTAGCTAGCTTCTGAGCCTGTGCCGATCGTGCTCGGTAACTCTTGGGCACCTTTTTGCGGTTCTAGCAACCTCGAGCAATTTGAGCCTTTTAGAGCAGTTTTTGAGCAAAATTTATGTTTAGAGCACATATTAAGCACAAAAAGGCAACTATTTCATAAAAAACCTGAATTTTTGCGAATTTCTTAAATATTAATCAACCTCAGTTTTGAACGCATAACCGGTCACTTGACAAAGTTTTGCACAAATTATTGAGAAGAACGACAAATAAACCTTTTAAATAGTGTATATATAAAAATATCAAGATTTGGGATTTTTGGCAGTCTTTTTTGGAAGGTTCATTGAAATGATAACAAAATCGTGTTCTGTTGGCGACCGCAACCTTGCGAAAGGACTGGATGAAATTTTGTTTCTGGTCTAAAATTGATTGTTGCTAAAAAAAATTTTAATAAAAAAACGAGGAACTCTTTTTGGTTAGAATCCTCATAAGTGAACTTACCAAATACCACTGCCAGTCTCGCATGTTCTCTGAAACTTGAATGTTTCTTTTGACCTGATTTTATTCAAAGAGAACAACATCACGATCACAACCAAAATTAACAATGGTAATAGAACTGCAGAATTGAGTGCAATTTGGCCTAACATCATACGAGTGATTTTAAATCACAAGTATGATTTCAGACCAAAATTGCATGACACGAATTTTAATCCGGACTTTATTACATCCATTTTGAAATCATTAAATTCAGTTGTTTAAATACAGGATTTTTAGGCAGTACAACATATTATTACTTTTTTGCTTTCCGAGACGCCCGCGTAAACTGGGTTAACATTTGTCTGATCTTCGCAAGAAACGACCACTCTTTGATTTCTGCGTGACTCGAAGTTCTTCACAGAAAACAAGCGTGTCACACTTGTACATATGCGAAGAAAACACGGAACGCACAGCTAAACGTTACACGTGTAACCACTCTAACAACCTCAAATACTGGACTTCTATCACATACGGGTTTTGTGTCTTAACGGTTTTCTTCCCCCAATCTTAAGACACTACATTCTCTCGTTGTACACCAACTTTTAGCAGACGGAGAAATTTAAATATTCATTCTTGAAGAGGGGTAAGTTTCTGAAGAGACAATGGTGTTGCGTCGGTGGTAGAGTATAACGGGTAATTAAGTATTATGAAATGAGTTGATAACGTAAAATTGGCCACTGTAAAAAGTCTCAAAGCTGACGTTTCGAGCATTAGCTCTTCGTCAGAGCGATTGCAACGAATTCAATGCAACCCTTCCCTGTTACACTCTCCGATCCCTGTTGAACACCAAACTGAATGTCTTTGACATCAGATTTTAAACCATTAATCGTCACGAACTGTTTTCCGTTGTGAGGGTAGGATTCAAACCATTTCAAGACCTGTCCTCTACTGAAAACCAAAGCGATCCAAGTGAAGTCTGTGATCAACGGTGTCAAATGCACTGGACATGTCCAACAAAAGGAGCGCAACACACTTTTTGAATAGACTGAATTACATCGCTCGTAATTTTTCTTCGTTCCCAGGAATATTTTCACTTTCAAGTCTTAAATAATGCCTCTGTGATTTTACTGTCGGGATTCAAAAGGAGCATCGTGTATTTAAAGGAATGCTGTGACTAATGCCCGGCAGCCGGGTATTTTAGTGTGCTCTTTTAGTATGCTCAAGCTCGGAGAAAAAATCTAACATTCTTTAGAAGTTTGAAGGAACCTTTCGGTGGAAAAACTGTACAAATTTCTGACTGCAGGGCAGTTTGTCTACTTGTGACCGTGCCTGCCTGCCGGGCATTTAGTCACAGCGTTAAAGGAAATAATAAATCCAGAGGCGGGCGGAAATCGGCCAAATTATCAAAGTTCGATGAAAAAGTGACTGGTAACGCAAGATTCGAGCCCCTTTGTTTTGGTTACATTACAATATTTCACTGACCTCTCCCCATTGAGGGTCAATCCTTGCATCAAAATATTGATATAGGAGTTAATTAACTGATATAACAAACACAAGGATAAATCTACTTTTATCACTTTCTAAAGCCCTTGGAGAGGATAAGATTTTTCAAACAGATGAAAAAGCTCTTTGTTTGTTGTAATTTTTTTCACGAGTGAGGGTTCGCAAGCCAAATGATAAGGTCGATGGTGATTTAAACGCGAGAAAATCTACACGCTTTTTTTGTTATTGATTGGCATACACTGTCAAAAACGTGTGAGTACTTTCAACTAGTCTAGAGTTCCTTTTAGATGAATTAGCAACGAAATGATGTAAGACGATCAAGGCCTACTAGTGAAGTATAATATCCATGGTAAACAATAGGGAAATTGGTGATCGTAACGGTAAATTTTTGTGATTTTGCGGGCGCCAAGCAAATGTCAGCTTGAGATTATTTCGCTGAGAAAGGAAGTGCTTTCAATCTCTCAAACAAGCAATAAATGGAACGTGGATTTTACGAATCCGTATAGTTAGGGCTTAAAATTCACCGTTAAGTTACCACGAAGCTGGGTTCTATTCCCGACTATCCTCGCTTATTTTTGGTTATTCTTAGTATTTCGGTGTTTGTTCTATTTTCACGCTTCCTCTCCCTTCCAAGCTAATTCTGAATGTCACCGCAGGAAAGAGTGGGGCAACCGCGACGAATATCCCGTTTTCTTTTTTTTCTCTCTCAATCTTTCCAACGAATCTGAACTGTAACGGGTCTAAATTACTTTTCACTAATCGCTCTGACGTCCAGATTTTTTAGTAAGTAAAGAGAGTAAACGAAAGTACTCACCCTACTGGTTGCATATTGAGTCTCGTAGACTTTTCGTTCTTTTTGTAGCTTTTCCCCGCTGAGAAAAGGTACCAACAGGAAACCAATTATAATGTAAACACAGATCGTCTTCATTTCAAAACAAAGCCTAAATTCAGCACAAAGAAGCAAATAACTGTTGGATACTGTAGGATAGCTTCACCTCTCCTTTGTGTTTATGATGGAAACCGTTACCACACTCCTAAAATGTCCGTGGCTTCCAAAACTGTGGTTAACTTTGTACGTACGGCTCTTTATGGAAACGTTCCCTGAGAGATAAGGAAGATATAGTATCCTTGAGCAAGAAACTTGACACGGAGAGTCAGCTAGCACTTCCTGTTGTCGTGACTGACGAATTATCTGTCACAATGTGCTACTTTTCATCGTTTTTTCGCTAGACCGTGTCAGAGTGCATTCATTTGTAAACGGGAGCACGTTTCGTGCATTCCATCATACCAACACTTATTTACACAAACCCGCCATCACAAGGGGGAACGTGTTGTAACTCAATGTTAGACTTGTTTTTGAGAAAGACGTCAGTAACACGTTAACGTGAAAGTAAAATTACACCCAATGTCCGTGGCTTCAAAACTGAATTGATAGATTAAAGGGAAGTATCCTTCAGCGAAAAGGGGAATTAAGAAACAGCAAGTCAGCCGGCACTATCTTTTGTCGTGACCAGAAAATTATCACTCACAATGATGCAATTGTCAACGTTTGACAAAGAAGAGGAAGAGATAATTCGCCAGGATGATATCAGAGTGTCATATATATATAGTTATAGTACAAAAGGAAGAGAGTTTTTAGGATTCCATCATGCCTACACTTCTTTGCACAAACGCGGAAACAAAAGGTAGGACGTGTTAACCTTGTACTTAGGCGGATCCACAACGTTCCGAAAAGGGGGCCGAAGAAATTGTGGCCCGAGTCTTGTACCAGTTGGCAATTTGTGACGAAATAGATAAAGGTTATTAGTGCCTGCGCAGGAGTACGAACTTCCTCTTCAAGTGTTGAAAAATGTTTTACAACGAGCGCGGGTTTCAGTGTATTCTCCAACAAGGTAGGGACATTTCACAATTACCCGTGTTAGGGAAGTGGCAGTAGGGAAATGAAACAAAGGGAAGTAAGGGGGGTGGGGTTCGGCAGAGGAGTTTGACTAATGGTTGCGTGTCGCGAGTCGCGCGCTTTTCAAGTCGCACTTTTTTAAGTCGCGTGTTTAAAAAACATTTTTTTTTTCAAGGTAAACTTTTTTGACAGACTTCTCACAGAACAATATATACATAATTATTTCACTGATCAAGTGATGTCAAACGCAAATGATAGAGCAGTTAATTCAAAATGTTCCATGTTTCTCAAACGCCTGTACCGTTTAAGCAGAACGAAAAGTTATGCATGCATCCAAAGACCGTTGATTTTGTTCGAAAGGCTGAAGCTCGCACTCTCAAACCTCTCAAGCATGATAAACCAAAATACATGGCTAAGCCCTCACTAACCAGGAATAAGGAACAAGGTATTTTGGAAGGGTGAAGGGGCAAAAAGCCGAGATAACAGCGTGAAGCATTTGTAGAAGAAGACAGGTGTGCACGAAATTCGAAGGGTAATGAGAAACTCGGTTGCAAACAAAAAAAGTAAGATCTAGGAAGGACGTTACTAGGTGTTATACAACCAGTAAAATTAAATAAAGAGGCACTGCTCTTCGTCCTGCATGAGCATCCCCCTCCCCACCTTAACAAACAAGCAAACAAACAAACAATCGCAAAAGGAAAGCAAATAACACTAACACAAATCTTTTTAAGACCCGCGACCTAAATGGTGCGATCCGCGGCCATTATTCAAACTCTTCACAAAGTTCCTCTTTCCACGCAAGGTTGCTTGATAATGACAAAACAACTCAGTACAAGAGCACCAGCATCCAACGATGCTCGATGACACGCCAAAAAAAAATTTCATCAAAGGAAAAGTATAAAACGATGACATCAATTTATTATTTTTACAAATATCTACAACTTTGTCAGCGTTTTACATCGATAATTTAACTGACAAGTAAAACTTGTGGTTCAATAAGTTATGTAAAATTTAAGCATTACAATAATAAGAAGAAAACTTACGTTAAGATTTTTATCCAAAATTAAGTTATGAAGTCTATATAATTGGTGTAGTGAGGTGTAAGTGCTCCCACAAGGAACCTATGTTTCACATGTTTGCTCCCTCCTGAACACTACAATCAAAATGTGAAGGTTTCAAACTCTCTAGAACTTTGAAGTTCATTAAAATATAAATTTTGGTTTCTTTTGAAGACAACTCTCCAGATATTTATTTCGATATCAATCCCTGAAAAAAACGTGCTTATATTAACAGAGCTGGGCTTGCCACTTAACACCATTTCAGTGCTGAGGATTTTTTTCTTTAGTTGCTAATGCTATTGTCAATGCTGGAATCGCAAATAATTTTAACGCGTGAAACGCCAGTTAATTAACATCTACGGCAAAAGTTCGCATCTTCTCCTGTTCTTCAACCAATGAATTTTGGGGCAGTGGTTCGCGAATAGAGGGGAAAATTGGACATAATCAAAACCAAGTCCGCTTATATCGCATAAGACCTGAACTCAGCGCCGCTTCAAATAATAAATAATCTTATCAAAAACGAAACATTATAGCACTTGATATTTTTCTTCTGATCTAAACCATATCTCCTTGAGATTTTTTTTCAGGACACCCTGTTGATTGATAATTAATTTCCCTGTTATCAGATTCTTGATTATCTTTCGTCTTATTTTTTCTCAGACGGCGGTGACAACAATATCCGGTGATCAATATCAAAGTCAAAGCACCTACACCTACACCAGGAAAGACGATGCGCACCAGAGGAACTGTGTAAAAATTAATGATAACAACAATGATGATAAAATTAATAATAATAATAATAATAATGATAATGGTGATGATAATAATAACAATCGTAATAATTAGAAGAAGAATGATATTGACGATATAATGATGATAATAGTAATAATGATAATAATAATAATAATACTAATTATGATAAGGATAATAACAGGAAGTCAAAGAAGAGAACGAAAAAGAATGATATTGACAATCATAATAATAATAATAATAATAATAATACTAATTATGATAAGGATAATAATAACAATAAAAATAATAATAAGAAGAATGATATTGACAATCATAATGATAATAACAATAATTACTATAATAATGATAATTTGGTTCTAAACTACCTAATCAGAGAGAAGTTCAGTGTCCCACGAAGCCATTGGGCAACTTTCCTTTACCCATGCTAAGTATGATGAGTGTCATTACTTAAAAAGAAAAAACAACAACAACAACAGCAACAAAAAACAAACCTTCGAGGGCAACAAGAAACAGATTAAGCTACCTGGTTTGGTTGGTCTAGATGTTGGTGAAAGTTCCTTTCTTGTGCTTTCAGCATTCCTTGGTTGGATGTCCTGTTCGACTCTGGGTTTGAGTGGAGGGGATGATGTACCATACAATATCAAAGACCAGCTATGAAGTTTGCCTTAAGAGCCAAAATAAAAGACAAAATTGCTATAAAAACAGCAACTCCACCGATGCGAAAATATTAACTTATAAAAAAAATGAATTGCTGCATCTGTAAGCACGTGAGAGGCTTGTTTATCAAATTGATGTTATTAAAGTTTAACCAACTTCCAAATCTAACGTGGAGAGATGGAGATTGGATCCCTCGTTCTTTGTCAAATCAATACGAAACAACTCATCCTTCCAGCTTTCCGAAGACAAAAAATGTGCTCAAGTTAAAATTACCTTGTTTAGAAAGAATTTCCAAAGCGGATATTAAACAACGCGCCTAAAGTAAAACTGCTGTACAAATTTTTAAGTACTCCAAAAGTTTGAGACAGACAAAAATATAAACAAATGAAAGTGGCAATACGGTTAACTCGTGGATATGCTGTTTAGAATTTAGTGTAGTCATATGATAAAAGAAAACAACATTGCATAAATGAATAAAGTGGTTTTTCATAAGTCTGCTTGAATGAGCCTTGGATCAATTTGATAAAATATGTCTAATAGCTACATCAGCAAGATTGCCAGGAGGCTGTGAAGGCTATTCCATTATCGTGGTTTAAAGCGCGATACATTTTTACTAAAAAAAAAGAACCAAAACTCCCACAAAATTCGAAGACAAGATCAATGTAATATTCTGAGAAATTATAGTTAATATTCAAGCGTGTTATCTACAAACTTGTTTTCTTCGCTATTTCTTAATAGCTACTAAATCGGTTAACAAAATAAGTTGAACCTGCACTTGGGTTTCGTGGGTCAGCATCACTAATCTTGAGCTCCCATTTCCCTGTAGGATTCTCTCCCCAGTGAAACAGAGTTGTAATATACCAGTCTGTCAAGTTCGTGAACTTCTGAAAGTTGTCTGCAAAGCGGTCTCGCGTCAATGGACAGGTTGTGTTACTCGGTGACTTCAAATGAAGTAACAAGTCACCACGGCGAGAGAAATTAAGATCTACTCTGATCTGCACGTGTTCCAGGAACTTGATCTCGCAATTTTTCACCTCCACTGAAACTGTACCTGGGATTTGCCTGAAAACGAAAATGTTATAGTGACTAGGTTAACTGCTGTAAAGAGCGCTTTCTCTTGAGCCATAAGTTCCAAAATAGCTGCTATAATTGTACTACACGCAAAAAATTTCCTTATTCAAAATAGCCACCGTACTGGCAAAATGTCTATTAAGATCTTCACAAAATGACATGTAATGTTCTGACTGTGCATCAAACAGTACTCAAAAAATTGATTTTTGAATCACGCGAAAAAATCGCGTGCAACGGAAGCGAGGTTCGCGTACACGTCCGATAGCTTTCGAATATTTCATGTGGCCGGCCGTGTAAGCGAAGCTAAAAGGAGTCGGTAAAATAAAAACTTGCATGTACCTTTCACTCCCTTCAATTTCGCATTTCCGCTGCCGAGGGACTTGAGTCCAGTTCTTTGCTAGATTCACCATCCTGCCAGCGTCCATGAGTCCAAAGCCATAATACTTACTAAAGTAAAATCCTGCTTTGTTTTGCTGCCACTCTCCACGTTCGAGGAAGACCCCACCCGGCGCTGCTCTTGCACTGTTTGCTATGATATGTTGAACGTCACGCCATGTTAAATTAGTACTGAAAAAGATAATATTGCATGTGCAATAGGAACTTAGTCATTACATTTTTTTGACCTTCGATGTATTCAGCACCAATGTGCTGATTGTTAACAATGGAAATTTGCACTCAAATTTTGTCCTGGCCCATCTAAAAAATCGTTACTATCTAAGGAAATTATTCAAATTCAATACGGCTAGAAGAGGTCCACTCTCACTGACGAAATGAATTCCCCATTTTAGGCTTCCGCCACCATATAAAAGGAGTCGTGGTTATACATGCACAATCTCAGTTAATGCATGGGCAGGATTCCCATTGGGTCGGGGATTACTCTAGCGTTTTAGAAGCATTACCAATTTTCACTTTGTCTCGACACAGAGGGGTCACAAGCACCTTGGACTCAACCATTCCCCTTATTCCTTTGCCAAACTCCTGACTAGTGGTCCACAGGAAAAGGGTAAATCATTTTCTGTTCAGCCACTTCCCTCTCAAGTTTAAGCCAATGACGCAACAATCTTACTTTGCTTGCAGGGTTAGTGCAATCAATCCTGATGCGATTGCAGTAGCCGCTGACGATTCCGAGAAATTATGAACACATCCTTTCTTGTTATCAGCAGTTGTCTAAATGATATATAAAACTGAATCAGCCACACAACTAAAACAGTCGCTAACCACTGCTTACATTAATTCATATGACAAAACTGAAAGGGAAAAATAGATATGTTTAAGAAGCCTGTAGCTCCTAGAACTTATACCATAAGTGCTACAAGGGATGTTATGCAATTACATTAATCCCAGATACTTGTCTGTAAACTTTCTCGTAAGGTAAGATGAGACGAAGGTGTCTAACAGTATAAGATACACCCTTAGTCAATAATGCGAAAGGACTGTTCAGTTTCAAACGAAAACAGAAAATTTAGCAAAACATTGGAGAGGACAACCAGAAAATTAACAAAAAGCGCAAATGGAAAGTTAGGTAAAGTCATTTGCTTCTACATCGCCGTAAGTAATAGGATTTCCATAACTGTTTGGCTAACGATAGTTTTGTTTTACTCCACTTACAATAATGTGTTTGTCTGAATCCCTGAAGTGTTTGTTTTTGTACGAATCCCAACTATAAGCGGTGGCCATTATTCCGGGGCACTCTTCAGCGTAGGTGGGCAGGGATCCATCATGATTTACACCGGCAATAGCGATGGTGTATATACTATTTACGTAACCATTGTATGCACAACTGTCTCCATACAGGCCTCCATTACCAGCTGCAAACGTGTAGATGGCACCAAGGCCACCACGACCCTAGATTTAAACAAAGTCCTAAGGCATAAACGTTTGTAGAACCTCCAAAAAGTGCGGTAACTGATCACAAATCCACGTGCATATACTCCTTACATGATAAATTGTATGTTACTTTACATCTATCAATTCAGACTGTGACTACTGTGAAGCCAAAAAAAGCGCACAAAGACAGTAGTGCTGAAAATGAGTCTTTATCTCCAAAAAGGAGAGTAAAAAGTAAGAAATTAAGTAATCAGCAAAAGACAAGGCTTTACAAGGCCTCAGTAGCATGGAAAAGCGTTCGTGTTTTGGATTCCGACGACGCTTTAGTTTAGATGTTGTGGCTTCAACAAACTATTCGATGCATGCTTGTATCTCGAGATCTATTTGTGTATGAACCCAACGCCATCAGGCCGAGCCCGGAACAGCAGTACATTGCTGGTAACGAGAGGGGCTTACGTTTTACCTTTTCCTTTCTGGAAATGCCATTAGAATTGTCACCTTGGTCGCTCTCTGTACCATTTATTATATCATCATGTTGTTACCTCAGGTACACCAAACATATTTTCATTTAGTACCTATATGACTGAGGTGACACCTTTTACCGCTTTCATAGAAGAACCTCATCAATTCGAAAGCACACAATGTGCATCGACCCAACCTCATAAGAGGGAACCTTTCCCAAAATTTAGAGTATGCCACGACTATGGGCTTAAACGTAATTCAAAAGGAATAACGAGGATGGACAGAACATCTACCAAACTACACGACACGAGACCGACAAAATGGTGAAAGTTCTGTTCATTCTCTGTCAGTATACAATACCGTTGTTGTTCCAAGTTCTAAAGCTTTACTGGCCAGCGGTCCAGGACCTTTTACTTCCCAGCCTATGTCCCCAGGCCCCCAGCTGTTGGAGTATATGTCAATGCTTTCTAGTTTATGTTTCAAGGCCAAGAATTCCCATGCGTCAGTCGACCAAATGCCAGAATCAAAGAGGCGAACACCTGAGACAAAAGAATGCAAGATTGCCTTAACCTCCTTTCAATGACTTAACGCTTCAAACTCTAAAGTTGATTCGTTTTGACATGTCTTTGGTCAAGCATAAAGAAAAAGGCCCGCGATAACGTTGGCTGGGGCTTTTGATCATAAAGTTCGAGAAGATTTGGCAATCCCTGCGGCATTTTTTGGCAAAAAATTTCCAAACCTCAACTGTATTTGATTATCCTCAAGATACAAAGTGGGAACATGCTACATATAAATAAGGCTACCATTTTATAATGATATTTTATCTCTCAAAGATTTTCCCACCTCAGAAAATCTTACGCAAATGCTGTGTTAAGAGCTATTGTTTATCAGGTCCTTGAAATTTCGCAGCTTAAAAACTTCTTACTACTACAAACTGCGATTGTGCACATACATTTTGGATGGTTAATACATTCCTAATTTTTTCCATTGCTTTCTTTATGGGGAAGGGGAGTTAAGTCATACAAGTCTATACCCTACTGACATAAGTTAAAACTAGTTGAGAGAAAAAAGTGAGACTCTTCAACAACCTGTGTAGTATCCTTTAGGAGTGAAAAGGCAGTAAAATTAATCTATTGGAGTGATGCTATTACCTGCAATGTTGGCTTCATAAGCCACTCCTGTTCCACATAAATCATTACCACGTTTTCCAGCTATGACACCTGCACATTTATTGCCATGGCTACAAGTGAATTGTATGATGTAAATATTGGTATCACTTCCTCACACAACTATCAACTTACATTGAAGATTTTGGCAGATAACATAATCCTTGACCTTCAGAATTCAAATGGTGATCCAATAGTAATGCCTCAATAAATCATCTGAAATTTATATTTCTTCCTTGAAGGGTTGAGCTACATTAAGCTGTTTGACCTGAAACACTTATCAACTGCAGTACTGATTTAAATACAGTCCAGATATTTTCACCCCACAAACTTCAACATCTGACACAATAACATCCACACCCTCCTTGTCCATTAACCACTTGCAGCTATTGGATATTATAAAAATTTCAACTTTGAATATTCCATTTCTAGTCTTCTGATTGGTTCATTCAACTCCAGTTATCAGTTCATACTCCAAGTCACCTTATACGAAGATGCCTTGCTCTAGGTGTTGTGGAGTTGAAAATTTGGCTTTATAAAGCTCCAAATATCCAAATGCTTAGGATTTAGTGATATTTAATGAAACAACTATTCCATTTGCACATCTGCACATATTATTAAAAATCTGATTGGCCAAGAGCATTCCATCAAAATACGACAACATGTGAGGTTGACATGATAACCCATTTTCTGCAGCAGGTACTGCGTTCAGAGTCTGCCTAACTTCCAAGCCCCGTGTCTGTGTGGTGTTCTCAAACTTTTTCAGATTCAAAAAGAGGTGTCTTCTTTTGCACATTGTAAAAAAATGTATAGTAAAACAACTATTGAATTCAGTTTTTGCATTGTATAATGATTGGTTTAAAAACTCCTATTTTCCACTAGTTTACTTGCCAAGTTGTTATTGGACAGTTCAATAGGCCAATCACATTCAAAGTTGTAGTTTGAATCAACCAATCACAACCTTGGTTTTAACCACCAGAGAAACAGTTTACAGACCTCCTTTCTCAGTGTTTTAATGCAAATTTACCCTTTTTTTCCATAGAAAATTGGACTCCCCCTCTCCGGTTGTCCAATTTTGCTATTAGGAGTATGATTACAGACACATTGGGACTCCACTCAGTCCTATTACCACTACTTATCAAACCTCATGTCTGTTGTCGGCTTCAGCCTTCACCTTCGCCTTCATCAGATTCAGTGCATAGAGTAAATGGTTTCATACATGTACATGTAGCCAATACTTCAGTTTTGATAATTTAATTTTTATCGTGCTCAACCTCAGCAATTATTGCTTAGCATTTTCACTACAATGAAAATATGCTATAGTTGTTCTTAAAAGAAAAAAATTTACTTTTATTTATCAAAAAAACTTACCAATGAGCTTTAAGTGATCATTTAATGTATTTAAAATTTTTTTGAGATTTTGTTTCAAATTTTCTGTTTGGTTGATTATAATTACACACCCAGCCATTTTTTTCAACACACAGATACAGTAAATGAAGATACATGTATGTTAGTTAACAATCAACATACCCAGATACAGGTGTTCCATATTCCATGGTACTGCCATTCACATAATCGAAACTTAAGTCCCTTCTCTGATGAAACAGATTAAATACAAAATACATCAACAAACAACAATCATGGTAAAGAATGCCTGTCATTAAAAAACATTCATTTAGCTTAAGCCCAAATTTATTTCATTTAAAATGAATTATAGTGTACAGTTTAATACTATCAAAAGTGGCCAAATTAATCCAAGGAAAACCATCTTCCCATCAAAAAACTTATAGATAAATTTTTGTCTTTGTCTCTAAACAGGATTTGTAGAAACATTTACGTTGTATTCCACAAGATAAGTACTAAGTTAAAAATAAACACTGCATAAGTCATTTGCAACAGAAGCATATCATATGAAAGCAAAAAGGGAGATTTGCTTTTATTTCCCTTTAGGTTTATCTGTCCTACAAATGGAACTAGTTGTAATGTAAAGAAGTAACTTCATGTGTTGGGGTCTGCCCCATCCTCTGTATGAACCCCAGAGTTACAAACATTCAAGTACAGGGGTAAAACAGGATCACAACACATGTTATTCAATCACTGTTGCATGTTTAGATGCAAATTTCAATCAGATAACATCACCATGTACATGCTAATAACCAATTAATCAAGCATAACATATTGCCTTCCCATTCCGCACAAATTAATTTTGTTTGCAATTCACTTCATTACCAAGAAGGCCAATTTGGGTTCTCTTGAATTCAATGTAAAAGAAAAACATAAAGAGTGAGCCAAAAGTAATTACATAGTTTTCCTTTAGTTCAGGATGACTGCCATCAACTCCATCATCAACTACTGCCACTGTAATTCCTTTTCCTGTGTATCCTGCATCCCAGGCAGAAATGACATTGAATGTTGGGCCTTGGGATCCCTCAGGTCTATTCTATAATCCAAGAAATGAAATTGAAAAGTAAGCCTGATAAGAAATATTGAGATATTCCGCATTGTCATCCCATACTTTAAGCTGTGATCATTTTAGTCACCATGGTAGGTAAGAGAAACTTTTAAGCACCTCGGTTACGGAGAAGGTTGCCAATTAGCCCCAGCTATTGCCCTATAATATCCTTAGAGATAAGGAGAGAAATGAAGACACAACACCATTAGTTCTAATCACAATAATTACAATTAAGGTATTCTTTCCAAATGCTTTTGGTCGAAGCGGAGGGAGTTTTCTCAATGGGAATTCCCGCAATGTAAGCATAATGAAAATGGGCCATACATTAGAAAGCCCATGTTCTACTTATTGGCCAAACACTTGTGTTCTTTTGTTTTTATTGGTTTTTTTCCTTCAGAGTTACCAACGCTAATTAAGGGAGCAGTCAAACCATCTCCAAATTTGGACATTTTTCAAGAAGTTTAATTTCAAAGACATATTTAAGTTATCTGATTCGTTTTGCCATCACTTAAAGTTTTGCATTTTGATTGTTTTATGGCTGTAATTATAAAATTTCCACAACCAAAAATGTAAAATAACTCTGTTTGAGAACTATTCCATTCTAATCAGTGCAATGCAGCTAAAAGTTTTCTTTTTATTTGTACTTTTGCCCTGCCAAGTTTCAAACCTGGGCGATATATCATTTAGTAGTAAAGTTGATGAATGTAGGGTCTTATCATGACATTTTTTCTTCTTTGACTGATAATTGGTCTTAAAAATTGTGAAAACTCCTTGTTTTTTTCATTATAACCATGTTTTCCATGGCTATTGTCCCTATTTTCACTGATTAAAACCCAAAAACATGTTTACTCCAGTATCATATCTCTATCTACAATGAAATTCCTCCTTCAAAACAAAATTTCAATCCTGTATATTTTGTAAATGGGTCATCTTCCAATTAAATTTTCGCAAGGAGACTACTTCATCAATTACCTTTAACATGTGAAAAAATAAAAGTAGTCTGAAAAAAAAAAACAAAACAAAACAAAACATTACCCCTCCAGGGATACCCTAATGTGATTGGTGGATTAGCTGTTTCATTTTTCACTAAAATTAATATTCTATCAAGTTGTTATCTGGCAGTGTAATCACACAGTCAGCTGTGATCAGACACCTGTAATCTGATAGTTTTAAATTAGCAGCCAATCACAGAAATTGATTACAATGACCATAGTAACAACCACTTACTCTACAAAACTAGGGAATTTCCAAAACGGAGGAGTTTTTTACTTTAGACAATGTCTAAAATAAATGTAATTCTTTTTACTTTGGAAACTGTAATGGCTATAATTAATTGGTGACAGAAGTTTCCGTTGTCAAATTCAGTCTGTGATGATACTCATGGGTGACAAATCAGACTCTCATTATGTGGTCCTCCAATTTTGTAATCAGTCAGTTACAGACCTAATTGAGCTAATTTCAAAGAGAAATGGAGATGTCAGCAGTAGAGTATGCTATGTAATCTTGCATAAGGTGTCCTTTTACTGTTGGAATCCTTCTTCTGGCAATTCTGTTGTGATTTTAGATTGCCAAATGGCAAATTTGAAATATCAGTTGAAATTAGGACAAGGCTATTGTCAGTTTCATTATCATTGCCATCATCACCATCATAAAATACAAAAACCAATAAAAATGTCAATAAAAATGACTTACAATGTACCAAGGTATTTCAGGGTGTTTATTAGAAAACAGTTTATACTTTTTCACCTTCTGATGCATAAACCACTCAACCTGAATACCAAGGAAATAAAATCATTAATAATTCTTCAAAAATGATTATTTTATTGAGACACAAAATATTCCATTGCATATTTAACAAATTCCTTAATATCAGGAAGGCACAAAGTCTCCAAGAACAAGTATATTGTTCAGTCTGACATGCAAAAATGAATTATCTGTTCATTCAAGTACCAGCACATCTCCTTTACCCACCCAAAAGTTTACATCTTGACTTGTACATGTATGATATAAACAAATGTACCTTTTGCTCTGAATGCAACTTGCCATCAATCTCCAATGACAACTGTGTCTTTTGAGAACTTTTCAGCAGATCAGGCCTTTTTAAGGTATGATAGTCCTCAATGAGCTGAAAAATGTGCACAAAACTGAATCACCTTTATCTTAAAATACAAAAGTTTTTCTGAGAGCATACCATCAGTAATGTTAGCTACAATTCAGCGATGAAACATTACAGAGTGCAAGTGTGAGAGGAAATTATGATTGTCCAGGTTTATTTATTTTTATCATTTCTTTTGTTCTTTGTTAACTCTAATTGTAATGTTTGTAAACAAGAAACTATGGCCAGTGTAACTTGCACACATCATCTTAAGACACATGTTTCCAAGCTAGGGTGAACAAAACTTAAGGGGCAATCTTCCAACCATGCAAGTAAAATTCCCTACATCAAATATATTTAATTTTTTACCATAGCCAGAACTCAATGAGAACCCTGTATTATACTGACTATGTTTAAAATGAAGTTAAAAACATGTTTGAACAACATCCCTTGAGAGCTCTGTTCATACTGAGCTTAATGTAAATTTATGTATGCATGCTGAAATATTGCCGCATTGGCAGAACAGATGAAGCTTAATGTAAATTTATGCATGTATGCTGAAATGTTGTTGCATTGGCAAAAAACTCATGAGCATTTTCCATATGTATTGGTGAGTCATCTTACATCTTAAAACAACCTTAAAGATGGGAACCTTGCCACAAACTTAATTCTTAAAATTTACTTGCATGAAACATCAATCAATCACTCGGTAAAAAAAAACAAGTGGTAAAATAAAGCCCAAAATTCAATGGGAGAAACAAACAGAAGGGAAAGAGGACAATGCAAGCAAGAGAAAAAGAAAAACACTAAACTTAAGAGAACAAGCTTTCCCTTAGGTTTTATCCAAGGTGACTTTCTCTTTAACATTGTTTAATGAAGACTTGAATTTCTCAACATTTTGCAAAGGGTGACAGAAATTGACTTATTTTGTGCGGTACCAGATGTAATGTTTACAAATTATGCAAATTAAGATCCCTGATGAGAGAGCACAAAAAATTTCAACACTGCTGGAATCCATTCAGATCATAACACCTTTTGCGATTCACAACCAGCTTCCCTAAAACATTCCTTCCCAATCAGCTGTTTCATGCATTCCTTTTAAGACTCCCCCTCCCCCCCCCCCCCCCCCCCCCCACAAATTAAAATCAAATACTTTCTCTCGCAAACAGCAAATAAACAAGATTTCAAATAATTTATTTTGACCAGGTGACAGTATCAATTAGTCCTTATTGTATGCCCCCCAAAATATAACAACATCCAATAACATATGTATTAGGGCGTTTCATGTAATGTCTGTTTACTTCCATGGGAAGTTAAACTTAGACACGCAAATGTGTGTACATGCTGTTCAATGTTAGTTGTAATCATTTCACTGAAGAAGTCTCAGTTAAAGATGAAACATGTTCAAAGAAATAAACAAAAAACCATGACAACAACAAAAGTCTTCCTTCGTCAGACTCATCAACCACATCATCAATTTCATTTGCACCACTAACAAGATCCTGATTGCAAACTAGTTTCTTAGAAGTCTGAGGACACTTCCTTGGAGACAATTTCTTTTATCACACTGTGTTGAGAAAAATACTGGAAAGTCTGTTTTTGGGTTCCAACTGGTCCTGTATCCTCTGAGCTGGGAAATGGTTATAGCAGACAGATGTTCCACTTGCTCCACATGGAAAATTATGTGGCAAGTGTGTTGGCAAGTGCAGAATTGTGTGGCTATTGGTGCCACCTTAACTTGTCAGCAAGAGATCTTTTTATCACAATTGTCATTGTTACAAGGACCAGCAAAACATCTAGTAAGAAGTGGCATTATCAAGCTAAGTTCATGTGAACATGAGAAAAAGAACATCTCCAAACTAGAGTCAAACCAGATACTGCAACTTCAAAGTCAAAATAGCAGATTGCTCACAGCTTGCCCTAGTCTTTTTGCACCTCATTTGAAAGATGAGAAAAAACCCACAAACAGGCCTATTGTCAATTTAACACTGACAATTGAAACACTGTTATCTACTTGAAGCAATTTACTTCTTTGGTACTAATTTTTTAATGTTTGAACGTGTCCTTTAGTAGCATGTCGTAATGATGTGGGATATTGATCAAATGAAGCCTTTAAGTGCTACTGTGGTTCTTTCTTTATTTATTCACTCCGAGCTTTCGCCGTTCTATGGCATCATCAGGGTGGAGCTCCCTGATGATGCCGTAGAACGGTGAAAGCTCGGAGTGAATAAATAAAGAAAGAACCACAGTAGCACTTTAAGGCTTCATTTGATAATTTTTTAATATTTATTAAATAAGCATGACTCTACGTTGTTTTAATTTCAAATGATTTCCAAAACACCCATTGTAACTAATGAAGATGTGTCATATTGAAATTTTTCATATTAAAAAAGGGCTATTTTTGCTGCTTACTCAACCATTCATGGCCAAAATCTAGAAGTACTCATGTAGTAGACAACTACATTTACAATCCTTAATATTTGTTATATGGCCTGCTTGACAACATGCCACCCTGCTGCTGATACAGTGGTTATCAGTGTGCATTTTTTGGTGGAGCAACTGCAGAATACCCTGCCACTCACTTACATGTCACTGAATAAGAATAACATCTATTGTGGTCTGCCTCGATCTTCAAAGCCTTCCGACACATGCACTTACGACTGAGTAGAACATACAGTATTGTGCAAAAGTAATGCAAACACCTGTCGACGAAATTCGACGAAATTCCTGGATTTTCGACGAATTCTTGACCGAAACGAAACTTCAACGACATTTCTGCGAATTTTAGAGGCATGTATTGTTTTGAACGGTTCGAACTTTCGGCAACATATTCCTTGATGGCATTCATGTGACTTGAAATTTCAAGCGAAAATTCGTTCTATGCGGCGAATATTCGGGGCGATAATTCATTGCAATTGTTCATTCTTTCAAAAAGATTTGGCTGAATTTGTGGTTGGGTACTGCTCTATGTAAAACTCCCATGGAATTTCCCGCAACGATTTGAGTCTTCCGCGTGACCTATGTTGTTTGCAACCATGGCAACACTCAGTGTATCAATTGTGTCAATGCGTTTGGGATCATTTACTTACTCTACTTTTGGTAGTCATCGTGGCCAAAGTTTCAAATTATTCTACCAAAAAAAAGCCCCTCCACAAGCAAGACCTCCACCCAGCCGAAATACTGAAAGCGTTGAAACGCGACAGGTTACTAGGTTTTACTACGCGCTTCATTTGAAAGTTGCGTCTCACCAGTTTTGTGGCAAATTTACCTCGATCGGGAAGACCTCAAAAGCTGTCTATGGAAGCGAACAGTGCATGTAGAAACTGTGCAAAATAAGCATTGGCAAAAGATTCCAGAATTTACGCAAAAATAGGACAACGTGACCTAAATAGTAGTTGTTTCAGCCGTCACTTACTAATATTCAGTATTTTGTCGCGAAATGTAAAGTATTTCACACTTTTATTAGCGTCTGATTGTGTAGGATCAAAACGAACAAAGAAAACTTAAATGCTAAAATACTGCACGCGCTCTGAAGCTCCCGTTATATATATATATATATATATATATATATATAAATTGTGAAGAATAAATATTTCCAAACAAACATGGGTATAAAGATATCTGGAAAGCAATCAGCAATATGGATGCGTAGCGATTGAGAACGAATAAACAAGGAACACATTTCTCAATTGACAACGTTTGAAAACACTCAAAACACGTTCTCCGCTCTGTCTGGTTTAAAAGTAGAGTACTGAAGTTAATGTTTAAAACTATTCCAATCATTTGAGAGTTTATTTTCACCAAATACATGTCTCTTGGTCGCAATTGCTGTGTTTAGTCTCAAATATTAAGTATCTCTGTCGTGGTGAAAAAGGTTGGAAATACGTTTAATAACATTTCGTGTTGCTTACATGAATAGTAAACAAACTTGATCACTCGCAGATGGCTACTGTCAGTTCGAAGCGAAATTTCGAACACTAATGATCGAAGAGACACTTTCCGCCACGAATTTTCGCGTCGTGGCGAAAATTCATTGAAAAAGCGTCCTTTGTTCAGACGAAATGTCGCTTAACAGGCCTTGAACTTTCGATCGAATTTTCGTTCGAACTTTCGACGAAAGATCGTTAGAACAAATAACGAAATTCGCCGAATTCCGCTTGCATTACTTTTGCACAATACTGTATGTAAGATTTGGAATTTCCCTAAATAAGCTAAAGCTAAATTCACGCAATTGGTACCTGCAATTTTATCCATTTTCCAAAAAGCTTGAGTACACCGGCAGAAATATTTGTCTTCACAGACAACCACAGCCGTGCATGAATAAAATAAAGCTAAATTTCAAGGCCGAAATAATTTCAACTGCCGGTATCTACGGTACCAAGAATTTGTTCTATGAAAGGTTCTACCTTTTTCAAGAAAAGTTTAGGATGATACTGAAGGTTATTTCCGCTCCTGAAATCGAGCGAAACGTGAGAAAAGACAATGCAGTACTTACATGTCTGTCGTAGATCAGATTATTTTTCGAGGCAAACCGCTCGACTTCTTCCTGATTACCACGAAATTTTACGGCCCATACATTGGTATAACTCTCACTGGCAAAAGCATCGGTTAAACAGAGGAATATTAGAAATAGAGTAGAACTCGAAAACCCAGCCATCCTAACGCTAGCGTCGTCGTCGAATTGCTGAAAACATTTGGAAATGAAATTATTTGTACGTGATTATAGTCAAGGCTGAGTGACCTGGCATAAGGTAAGAGTAAAGACTGGTCACAAGGAAGAACTCTATAAATGTTCCTGTTTGTCTGATGTGCCACGTTCAAGTCGTCACTGTTATTATTAGCCAAATGAATAAAGAGGGTGATTTTCTAAAGAAACTGTGGTACTGCGTCGGCGGGAGAGTATAATAGGTAATTTAGTGTTAACAACTGAGTTGAAAACGTAAATTGGCCACCGTAAAGAGTTAAAAGGCTGACGTTTCGAGCGTTAGCCCTTTGTCAGAGCGATTGGAGGAATTGTGAGGTGTGTGTGGGTTTGAATGCCGAAAATGGAGCTACGCCATTAAATGGTTTCGTAAAAATTTGGAAACGCTCGAATCATTATCTTCCCATTTAAATCTTGATTTTGCGAAAGGCGTAATAATAATTCGCTTACAGGTCTGAGTTTTAAACGGACAAGCATGAGTGGACGTGACTTGTAGATCATTAGGTAATTACTCAGCTCTGCGCATCCAGTCTTGCGCATAGCATCCCTAATAATTATTTGTAAGCGTGCGTACATCACGATTCACTGAGGCGCTAATGTTAACCAATGGATCACTTCTTCAGGTTGTAGTAAGATGGGTGTTTGCTCCTAAACGAGTGCAGTGACCTATTTTATGTAGCACAAATAAAAAATTTAAAGCAAATTGATCAATGGGAAAGTGTGCTATTTACTCAGGCTTGGTAGAATGCCCGAGTTATAAATTGGGCTTTCTTTTTAGTGTTGTCGGTTCAGTCACAAATCGCCGTCTCGCTAAAGCGCACGCGTGAGGGTACGTGCTGAAACGTATGCGCAGTCAGCATAGAAGGCGTACATGGTTGAGCAATGGCAGGTCTATCGAAGGTGTTCTCTCTGAACCAAGAAAGAGTGAATAGTATGGAGTCTAAGACGCTAAAAAAAAGTACAAAGGTAAACACAGTTCGGGGTAGACCTGCGGTCCGCGTAGTTTATGAGAGATCAATTTACGAGTGATTTATTATGAGTGAAGTTCTCATTATCGAGGGTTATGCAATATCAAATCAGCTATTTACTGTTAAGCTACGTAGACATTATCGTGTATTTAGACGTGATCGAGAACCCAGTAGAATAACAGAGCGAACTCTGAAATGTCTGAGGAACAAGAACAGAAAACTGAAGGAATTTGTTTACAAGCGTATTCTTCTAAGTATAACACAGTCTTCCAAGCTGCAATGTTACATTCATATGAAGGTTAGAAAATTTGCAAAAATTGAAAAACATAAATGTAAGCGTAGTACAAAGATAATAAACTTAAATAAAATCATAAAAGTTTGCTGAATTGTTCCAGGAGGGTTCATCAAAGGATAATTTAGTGAAAATACAAAGCTAGACAATATTTGTTATTGTTTTTCCTGTAGTGGAGTTATGTGTCTTGATAAGACTGAGACCAACATATCTAATTATTGTAAATTTAAGTTGACGACAGATATACATTGACCCTAACAGAACAATAACAGCACCACATAGCCAAGGTTGCGAGCTAGTATTGGGGCAAAATTCAGGACAACAATGTGTGGCAAGAAATTTGATTCCTTTGATTTACAATAGCAAACAGTAATGAGCCGTAAAACCGGTAGAAAACCGCGTATGCGTATCGTATTCGCCTATTGCATATCAAGATTCAATGAACGAGTATTTAGGGCGTTCACTAGATATTTTACTGAGTGCATATTATAGTTCGAGACTCCGTAACAAGCCTGAGTTCATGCAGTTATGCATCTTGTTCAACATGCTTTTGACCCTAAGTTGCGCTAAATAATATCTGCCATCATTTTGTTTACATAACCATCAGGATCTATCTTAGGTTGACTATATTGTAATATATTCAAATTATTCTGTTACCGGATGTTGTGTTAAGTTCTCTCGCAAGTATTATAGATATAATTACTGGAGCTCCTTGGCTGAACTTGACATCCCCCGCTAAAATGAAAGCCCAAAAAGTTTTTAAGGCACTGAAGGCATGCTGCCAAGCTATCTCTCTGAAAAGGTTCAAAGATTCAACACTGTTCACTCAATGAATGCACAGAATGATTGTAGAAACTTAATTCTATCTTGAGTGAAGGCTCATGCAAACAGTGTTCCTCTGCATTTAGTGTGGCTTGAATTTAAACAGTCCTCCCCCTGAAATAAAGGACTGCACCTCCCTGACTTCATTTATCAACAAAATTAGAAAAACGAACTTACTAGGCTAGATTGATGTTTTTTTTTAATGAGGGCTACATAAATTATCTTGTAATATTTCATGCTACCCCTAATGGAGAAAGATAATTATTATTATTACCATAGCTACTGTCTCCTATGGAAGGCAGAGCCACATATGTCGTTGAGGTGAGTGAGTGAGTGAGTGAGTTTAACAACTCAATTGTATAATCTTGACCCAATTTCGACTTGGTTTTTCCCAGTGCTACTTATTGTTTGTTTTGGAGTATCTTATTAATTTGACATTCACGCTCAATATACAGTTGAGTTCTCTCCTTTTGTGATTTCTGGCTCAGAATCACTGGCACATTTTTTTTTCTGCCCTTGCCATGGTGACACTATGGAAAACAGTAGAAGATCTAGACAATAAACATCTTACAATCATTTCAGGGTTGCATGCAATTAAAAGCAAAAGTTTTCCTTGCAGGAATACCATAAGGTGCATCATAAAACCTAGGAGAGAAATTTTTTCTCTGAAGATAGAGCAGTTTACCATTTAAGTCAGCAAACTATGTAGATCCGAAGATATAATCTTTTCAGTTCTTGCTGTGACACTACAAAAGATGACAAACATCTCAAAATAATTTCACAGTGGTATCCACTCACTCATAATTTAAATCATAAGTTTCCTTGCAGAAATATCTCAATAGATATGATCTGCACATCCAGGAAACTTAAAGGAAAGTTTTTTTCCTTTGAAAGAGAGCATTTTACTGTTTGAATCAGTGACTTATGCCAAAAAGAGCCATCAAAATTTGTGAAGAAAGTAAGCTGCAAAACACAATACCTTAAGTTATTCAATAGCATGGAATGGTAGAATATCTTAAGACACAGAATGATGGAATATCCTAATACGTGGAATGCCTTTTTGTATGAGAAAAGTATTGAAAAATGGAATTGCAATAAAATAACAAAGTTGTTTATAACTAACAGGTGGAATTTAAAAGAGCATAGGTAGTCATTGTTGGAGCCCAGAGGACTGGGGAACCATGGGGCTTTCAATTCAAGCTGGCCCCTTGAAATTATATAACTATTGTTATCATTATTATCATTGTTATTATTATTTGCAAAGTTATTTGAATGTCAGTTAGACAATATATTTTTGAAACATCTCTCTCTTGTGGAACAGGTTACCCATAATTATGTGGGATGCAGCAGGTTTTCCCTTTGGTATGTGAGACAAAATTAATATTCTGCAACACTTCCTTTTTGCACAGCCCCTAGTTCTTTTCAGTGCTATAATAGTTGTGCTCTATCAAAGGCCTCATGTACATGCAGTCTTGGACTTTCTTTTTTTATTATCATTACATCATGTGTGCATCTAACTTACACTTGATAAATAAAGTGTTGTTAAGATATTTGAATGTTGCCTCATTTCTTTGCTTTGGGATATTTAGCAGTATTTTTTCAGGTTTCCCTCTCCCTACTATTAAGCGCAACAGAGCAACTGGCAAGGAACTCTTGTCAAAGGAGGCGTTCACATACCTGGGCAACACAGTCAGACATGATGGAAGAGCAAACAAGGACATCAAGAACCGCTTATGCAAGACTATAAATGCAGTCAAAATGCTCAACTATGTATGGAGGTCCTAGTGGTAGAGCACCAAGATCAAGCTAAAATTATACCAGAGCTGTGTCCTATCCACCCCAAGATATGGCCTTGAATGTTGGGGAATGACAGAAGGTGATCTTTCCAGGCTCAATCAATTAATCTTTATTTGTACTCACTCTTGCCCAATAAAATATATTAACACAATGAAAATATTATAAGTAAAATTAGTACTGGCTGCCTGGAATAACCATGGGGGCTAGCTGAGCCAGTCAGCCAGTTCACATTAGCATTAAATAAAATAAAATTACAGGTCAGCAAGAAAACGGAAGCACAAATGCACACAAAAAAAAGGGAGACGAGGAAAAACGCTATTTCTACGCTATGAAGGAAGTCTAAAATAGTCAAATTTATAGATGAATACAAAATATTAATATAAGAAGAACTTGAAACGGTGACAGAATTTAGCAAAAGTCTAATTTACACAACTGCTAATAAGAAAACAAGTAACTAATAATCTTTGACAAAATTGCTTTTTACTGACTCCTTGAAGTTTGAAATAGAGAAGGTTTTCAAATTTTCACTACTTGAGTTCCATACTTTGGGGCCCTTAAATCTTGTTATAAATTCCATAATTTGTTCTTACTTCAGATAAAGTATAGAACATACTCGAGGCACTTGATGTATTATAATTATGTCTTATTGGCTTGTGTAAAGAAAGTATCACACACAGATGGTAGACGTCTATTGCGAAATTTATTCATAAAGACTGGATATCAAGAAAGACAAGGTCAGGCAGTTTAACAATATTTAAGCATTTGAAAATTGGACCAGAATACTCATGAAATTTAGAGAAAGTCATCACTCGTATTGCTCTCTTTTGTAAAATGAACAAGTGGTGAGTGGTTGAAGAATAGGTGTTACCCCAAAAAATTAAACCGTAGGTTAAGAAGGGATATATTACAGCATTATATAGTTTAACCAGAATATCTGAAATCACATGATAATGAAGTCTAAAAAGAATCCCAATATTTCGCTTAATCTCTTTAGTAATATGGCTTACTTGACTTTTCCAAGATAAACTAGAATCTATTATAATACCTGGATATTTTATTGAGTACTCTTGATTTAA